CCCTGCTCCACGCACCAAGCCTACGGTGTGCGTCGCCAGCCCGGTCCGGCCTGTCCCTGCTCCACGCACCAAGCCTACGGTGTGCGTCGACAGCCCAGCCCGGCCTGTCCCTGCTCCACGCACCAAGCCTACGGTGTGCGTCGACAGCCCAGCCCGGCCTGTTCCTGCTCCACGCACCAAGCCTACGGTGTGCGTCGACACCCCAGCCCGGCCTGTCCCTGCTCCACGCACCAAGCCTACGGTGTGCGTCGACAGCCCAGCCCGGCCTGTTCCTGCTCCACGCACCAAGCCTACGGTGTGCGTCGACAGCCCAGCCCGGCCTGTCCCTGTTCCACGCACTAAACCTACGGTGCGCGTCGCCAGCCCGGTCCGGCATGTTCCTGCCACCCGCACCAAGCCTACGGTGTGCGTCGACAGCCCAGCCCGGCCTGTTCCTGCTCCACGCACCAAGCCTACGGTGTGCGTCGACAGCCCAGCCCGGCCTGTCCCTGTTCCACGCACTAAACCTACGGTGCGCGTCGCCAGCCCGGTCCGGCCTGTTCCTGCCACCCGCACCAAGTCTATGGTGCGCGTCGCCAGCCCGACCCGGCCTGTTCCTGCCACTCGCACCAAACCTACGGTGCGCGTCGCCAGCCCGACCCGGCCTGTTCCTGCCACTCGCACCAAACCTACGGTGCGCGTCGCCAGCCCGACCCGGCCTGTTCCTGCCACCAGACCAAACCTACGGTGCGCGTCGCCAGCCCGGTCCGGTCTGTTCCTGCCACTCGCACTAAGCCAGGGGTGCGAGAAGTCAGCCTGGTAAGGCCCGTTCCTCCTCCACGCACCAAGCCAGGGGTGCGAGTCGACAGACTGGACCAGGGGCACTATGGGGGGTGTATTGGAGGGTGGTGGTCAAGGCCGGAGCCAGAACCGCCGCCGAGGAGGTATGCCCGCCCAGCCCTCCCCTCCCCTGTTTTGTTTAGTTGAGGCGCGGTCGCAGTCTGCGCCTTTAGGGGGGGGTACTGTCACACCCTGGCTCTGGGACTCATTATGTTGAGCCAGGGTGTGTTCATTCTATGTGTTTATTTCTATGTTGGTAGTTCTGTTGGGTTTATTTCTAGGTTGGTCTGAGTGACTCCCAATCAGAGGCAACGAGTGTCAGCTGTTTGCTGGTTGTCTCTGATTGGGAGCCATATTTAACTGTCTGTGTTTCACTTTGGGTTTGTGGGTTTTTGTTCCGTGTTCGGTCATTGTCACCGTGGACTTCACGAGTCGTTTCTTGTTTTGTATTTTTGAAACTTTAACTAATTAAAGTCATGTTTGTTTCTCACGCTGCGCCTTGGTCTACTCATTACTACGACGATCGTGACACCGATCAATGAGTGTGTGTGCGTGTGTCTGTAAGAGTGTGTCTAAATGATATTTGTAATAGAGTGTGTGTATGTGACCCGATTGCTGTGTGCAAGAGAGAGCAGAAGATATTCTTGTAGGCCTCCAATCCCCGCACAAGATGGAGTATTTTCATTTCACTCACTTGGGACCTCATATTTTCTCTTCATTTTATTGCATTCTGTTAGCATTTTCCACACAGACACATTCCACCTACACACACAGACACACGCGGCTCTCATCCAAGAGTGAGAGAAAGGTTTGGTTTAAATACCATGCCACAGAGCCAGGAATGTTGACACTGCTGTAGCTGGGGACAAAAGCTGAAGAGACTGAAAACGAGACGGAGACAGAGAGAGAGAGAAAGAAAAAAGAAACAGAGAGAGAGAGATAGAGAGAGAGAGAGTTGAAGGAGCTGGTGTGTATACAGTGAGGGCTGCTATAGCCAAACTGGGGAACAGTAATTCCCCTCTATGGTTTTATGTCAGGGAGTCTTGCACAAGACCATTTTCTCACCCTGCAAAAATGCAGTCTCCCACATCCCTCAGTGTGCAGCAGCTATATATAATGCACACATCAAACGCTCCGAGCTGCTCTGACCTCTCTTTCTGGGAGCCCTGCGGATTCCTCATACTACAGGAGTGTGTTTCGCACAGGACCCATCTCACACACACACACACACACAATTCACCTCCACCAAACCTTCTGAATTCCACTATCTCTCCGAAGATAAACTAATCACATGCTAACAGAAAGAGGAGGAGAGCAACAGAGCACTGAGTTTGGTGAAAACCTTGACTTGGCTGTTGAAGAAGGACAGACAGACAGACAGACAGACAGACAGACAGACAGACAGACAGACAGACAGACAGACAGACAGACAGACAGACAGACAGACAGACAGAGAGAAAGAGAGAGAGAGAGAGAGAGAGAGAGAGAGAGAGAGAGAGAGAGAGAAGGGGGTGGATAGGAAGGATTGTCATTAGCCTATACCCCTCAAACTCAACTCTGGACCTCAAAGCCAGTTCCACTGTATTTTTTCATTGTTCCCCTCTAATCAGAGACTGATTTAGACCTGGGACACCAGGTGTGTGCAATTAATTATCAGGTAGAACAGAAAACCAGCAGGCTGCGGACCTCATAGGGTAAGAGTTGAATACCCCTGGCCTATACAGTATCTCATTTCAGAGAGGAAGGGGGAGCAGAGAAGGAAGTGCACACATATCAGCAGTGAGAAGAGAAATGCACTCCTTTGTCTGCTGTACTGCTATCTGGACTCTGTCCACTGTGCTGTGTGTTGCTCTAACATATTAACCTTATCACTGGCCCAGCCTGGTCATTTCAAAGCCATTTGAGTGCCTTTATGCGTCATTATAGTGACTGGCTCTAAAGGGGAGACCCTGGTTGTTGCAGGGTTGGAACCATTCTTTGGCCAAGTCCAGAATCGATAACCATTTAAACACAGACACAGTGATAATCAAGGCCAGTAATTGTTCCAATGAGTAAAATCAGCGCTAGAATAGAGCAGTGCCCAGAGGACATCGTTTCTTTTCTGCATTGGCTGTCCCTGACTTCTGACCTTAACTCCTAATCACCAATTAGCATGCAGCTTTCAGATTTCAGCCTGTATCGACGAAAGCTACAGGGTCTAGCCAAACAACAACACTCACATGCAACTCTACTACTCCACAGGACACACTGAATATGCCAATGTACTCCAAACTGACAGTTGTTGGGAATATGTTTTATAGTATCTGTTGAGTATAATACAGGATGTCCCTTGTCACAACATCTCGTGGGAACAGAGCTGGTGACATCATGATTCATTGGCCAGGTTAATAGATGTAGTCTTGTTTCGCAGGTCAAATCAAATCTCCCCAATCCAGTAATATGGGTTTCTGTGTTAGTGTGTATTCAAGGCGCCATTTCAACTGCTGGGCTAGAAACAGTTCTTACACTAGCTAAATCAACCCTAGCCCTCTCCCCCGAGACAGCTATACACAGAGTACACACACATCTCTGCACACATGCTCACTAACTCACACATTATACACACACACCCGTATGCTCTTCTTCTCCCTCCCTCCCTCTATACCTCCCTCCCTCCCTCTCTCCCTTTATACCTCCCTCCCTCCCGTCTCTCCCTCTCTCCATCTCCCGTTCCCTGTCTTCTCCCCCTCCCATACTCCTCTCTTCCATCCTCTCTCCTACTCTCTTCCTTCATTAAAATTGACTTCCTAAAGCCTCCATTCGTCTTGCTGACAGCTCCACTATCGATTGGCCTGGAGAGAAAGGATGCAGTTCCAGGGCTTTAAATGGCTCTCTGGCCAGCCTGGAAGATGGCTGGACCTAGGCCGAAGGGAGGGGAGGAGGAGGAGGCGAGGAGGAGGGGAATGAATGGGCAAGCTGGAGAAACCAACCACGTTCTCACATCAGCTATACCTTAGGGTGGGAGGTCTTCCATCACCCTGTACTCTTCTGTATATACCTGATTCACTTTGACAGCCCTGAAATCCTGTTGTACTGTAGCTGACCAGCAAAACGACAAAGACGTGTTTCATCATTCAGGTTTGGACACACCGTCATCACCCTAAACATTTTAGATAGCGCTGAAGAGGCGAAGACACCGAGGGGTGATCAGGCAGTGTCACAAAATCAAACTGATAATCATTGGAGAAGTAGACCAATTAAGCACTGAGGTACAGAGCCAGGAGATTATAAACCTCTCATGACTTGTTCCATTGGGTCACAGTGAAGTCCCTGGCATACATGCTATAACACACTCCAATTATTAAACTGGGCCCAGAAAGTCTGGCAGAATGTAAAAACCACGCTGAGAACATAAACAACACATGGGAGAGCAGGTTTCAATTGGCCACGCTGACACACAATTCATTTCAATCAAACCCATCTGAAGTAGCTTTCCGCTGGCTGACGTCTTTAATGGGCCTCCATCCCTTATCGTCAGCTGTTATCAAGGGAAGATGAGTTGGCACTTTCCCTCTTCATCCCTCTCTCCCTCCCTCCTTCCGGGTGACATCAAATTCCTCTGCCAAGATTGATGATTGGACATTTGATTTATCTAATGATTAAAATATCTGTGGTGCAGTCGCTGCCCTGCTGTGGAAGCCCCACAGCGTGAGTTTCATCCCCCTGCCTAAACCCACCCTTCCCACCCCTCCTCAGATGAGCGCTATGTATGTATCGAGGGTTGTCATCTTTAATCATAGAGCGCAGCACGACAGCGCCAGTCAGCAGGAGGGAGTCTCCCTTGAACGTGTCACTGTTTATTTGTTCTCTAATCTGTCCCTCTGAATTGCCATTGATTGCAGCAGCAAGGGAGAGAAAAACATACAAGATATTCAAGACAAATTACTAAACTTCCCAGTTGCGAGGAGCAGTTCAATCTACATAAGGTCAGATAGTGGTTAGAGACGGGCAATGTTAGAGTGGGCATTAAGCAACGACCTTTGACCCCAGGTATCGACACTGTGATCAGTAAATATAATATCTCAGCCTCTACTACAGTATGTGGACTCAGCCGCTCTATGTAGCAGCCCATTCAAACAGCACAGCCATTTACAGTATAGAATCCTGTAGTAGTGGAATGGACTGATGCTTTCTAGGGGGCATCATAACGTAAAGAGAGGGTCTGAAGATCTGTCAACTGGAGAGAGAAGCGAAAGGAGGGAGAGAAATTGGTGGATGTGGGAGAGAGAGAGAAAGGAGATAAAAAGAGAGAGACAGAGTGGAGGGGAAGTAGAGGAAGGAGATGTGAGGTAGCTGAGGAAGGGAGTGTGGGAAAGAGAAAGGGAGGGTGAACTAGTGAAGAAAGATCGGGAAGGAGAGGGGAGAAATGGAGCATGGGGCAGAGAGGAGAGAAGAGGAGAAGAGATGAAGGAGAGAGGGATGGAGGGATGAGGCTGTGGCGAAGCAGAGAGCAGAGAGCAGTAGTCAATATAACGGCACTCATTCATCTCTCTGACAGCACTCCAAGTGCTCCACTGGGGGAGACACATTGCTGCATCACCTACAGTGCAGCAAATGCAGAGCAAACACTCACACAAACAAATACGCCTTTACCAACCCTCCACTTTACAACACATCCTTGTGGGGACCAAACAATTGATTCCCATTCAAAATCATATTTTCCTAACCCCTAACCCTAACCCTTAACCTTAACCTCAAACCTAACTCTAACTCCTAACCCTAATTCTAACCCTAACCCCAATTGTAATCCTAACCCTAAACCTAACACCTAAGCCTAAAATAGCCTTTTTCCTTGAGGGGATTGGCAAAATGGACTTCTGGTCCCCACAAGGATAGTAAAACCAAAAACACACACACACACACAGTATTTTCCAGGGAGTCTGCCCCAAGACTACATTTTGGGTCAATAGTATCTTGGGGGGTGGGGCAAAATCAGTAAATACACCATTACACCGTAACCTTCTAACTCACAAAACACAGCCACAGGACATGAAACATACACAAACACACACATACATACACACACACACACATCTGCTGATTAGATAAGGCTGTGTGCTACAACAATCAAATTAAGAGCAATTAATCTCCCAGTAGCAGCCTGAAGCTAGATGGCTCATACCAACCTGCCTGCACTGCGGACAATGGGACAAATCACTTGACAATATAACATACATTCACCTCCACAATCCACACTCCTATAGTCCATTTAGTGATTGCTATTGTGAGATACTTTACTGTCTGATGCTGAGGCTTATAGCCTTTTTGTGTGCGCTTTCTTTTGTTTAGCTAATGATAACACACACACACACACACACACACACACACACACACAAACACACAAACACACCCACACACACATCCCTGTTTCCCTCTCCAGGCTGGTCATGGCCCATTAGCTGTTCTCAGCCGTACGTCTCCCATGATTCACGGCTAAGTGCATCGGTGTAGAGCAGTTCTGACTCACTGGGCCCAGGAGAGGAGAGACAGGCTGGCTGTGTGTCGTTACAGCACACCAGGATAGATGGACCACATGCAGGTTAGAGTGGCTGCTACACTACCACCACCAGGGGCTGAGCCTAGCACAATGAGACTGGAGGAAACAGACTCTTCTTTATGTGGAGCTAGGCTAATGTCTGTGGTGGTAAGTAAGCATTTCACTGTTAGTCTACACCTGTTGTTTACGAAGCATGTGACGAATACAATTTGATTTGGTGTAGTCTTGCTAGACCCATACACAGGGGCTGTGGGTCTGGGCTGTTCTATGACGTCTGTGGATACAGGGGGAAAGAGAGGTACTTGCACTAATTTGGCTTGACACCCTTTTGCCCAAGCCCCTCGTCCCCCTCCTCCTCCCCCTTCTCCCCAAGCTGGGCCAGCTCATACTCTATAAATGAACCCCCTAATGATCCCCAAATCCTCCTTCTCAATCAGCAGAGGAGGGAAGTGGGGAGCGAGGAAAGGGGAGGGACAGGGGTGCCAGGCCTTCCCCACTGCCTCCTCCTATTAGAGCGGGCCCCATAAAGACAGCTGAGGCACGAGGCCCCTAATGATTCCTTAATGATCCCCCTCCTCGGCTGCAACGCTGACAAACACTGACTAACCCTGACACCAGGAACACCCACCAGGCCCCCACGGCACGGCACCCCTCTCACACACACCTCCCATTTACAGACCCATCTCTCAGCTCCTCTCATCTTTCCTCTCCCATAACCCTCCCCTAACTAAAGGGCCTAGAGGCTCCCCACAGCCCCACACTACCCCACACTACCCCAAAGACAAAAACTGATGATGAAATGATCCGTGTCAACTTGAGAGTAATGGGTTAAGTTAGTTTGTGGAAATTCCTTTCAGCAGATCAAGCAAGGGAAAGGGCAGAGTAGACAAACAAAGACAGAGGTAGGAGGAGGAGAGTTGTTCTATAGGGGGCAGTTAACCCCAATGGAAAAAAAAACATTGCTCTCCCCTACCTAACCTCTTTAGCTGTGTTTCTGATTTCCATTGCAAGCTGGCGTTGGGTTGGGGGAGCCAGCAGCAGAATAATCTCTTTTTAACATCACAGGGTAACGTAATTACAGAGTGTACCATCGCCAGCCTGCCTCAGTTTCTCCTAAATACTCACACCCCAAATTAGGGGTTATTGCACTCAAGCTAAACCTACTATTTAAGACTAGGACGTCACATGCAAACACAGGAGAGGAGAGGGAGTTTAGTTTTACCAGCAGAGTTTATCAGTAGAATGATATGAAGCTGTTCAGTCAGACGGTTGCTATTAAGAATCAGAGTAGACCAGGTGGGGCCACATTAACCTACTGTATGGAAGGACTTGGCAGGGCCACATATGGCTGGATAAAGGAGAGTGTGTTTATGTTATATCTCCAGCATATCTGACAGCTGAAAATCTGCTAAAGATATTTCCAAAGGCTGTGAGTAAAAAAAACATAAACTCTGTGGTACAGTATGACCTCACAGGCTTGGACTGCAGCTCAGAGTGAGTCACGGTCGCGGATGACAGAACCCTACACTACAGGAGCCATTCCCAGGATCCCCATCTCCTCTCATAGATAACACTAGCAGTTTTCCCCCTCGCCTTTTAAACCACCCATCCCACTCTCTCTCTCCTTCCATGTATCTGCCCCTCTCTAACATAACCACACGGTACATCCACATAGCCAATTATACCATCATTCCCTTCAAGATTTTCCATCTTTAAGAGCAATAATCATTTGAAAACATAGGAAAGCTGTGAGGCTTGCGGAATTTGTTTCTCCAAAACAGAGACTTTGGTCACGACCATACGGTAGAGTAAGTGGAAAGTGAATAACTCATAATGGTCGGTGTAGTGGTCAGAAGCATTTTATGTGATTAAGGCCAGTGACTAGGACAACTGTAGAAATGAGGAGTGGTGGACCATCAGTCTGGCAGGCAGCAGCAGAGTCCGGGCCGTGCAGGGCAGAGCATTAGGAGATGAAAGAGAGGCCGTGCGTTGCGCCTCTACTGATAAAAACAGGATCCAATTACTGCCTGTGATTAATGGTGAACGCTCCCAAGAAGATCTCTGTCTTCTGTCTCTCTCTGCTCCTCCATCACAGGACACAGCCAGGCCACTCTGCACTGCACTGGGGGAAAGGCTAGTAGTAGTAATACTGGAGTAACACAGGGGTAGACTAGCGGTATAATGTGTGTGTGAGAACACCACCTACTCTGGAGAATGCTACCTGCACTGGGGTAAAGAAAAGGGTATAATTACTAATACAATACTAAGATGGAGGTGTATTTACTGTATGTGTGAGCCAGTGGAGGCTCCTCAGAGGAGGAAGGGGAGGACCATCCTACTCAGTGAATTTCATAAAAATAAAAACAGTGAAACAATAGTGAAAGTTATCCTTTTTAGATAAAATTATCCTAATTATATTCACGTCACCAAATAACTGATTAAAACACCCTGTTTTGCAATGTAGGTCTACAGTAGCCTCAACAGCACTCTCTATGGTAGCACCATGGTGTAGCCGGAGGACAGCTATTTTCCATCCTCCTCTGGGTAGATTGACTTCAATACATAGCCTAGGAGGCTCATGGTTCTCACCCCCTTCCATATACTTACACAGTAATTATGACGACTTCCGGAGGACATCCTCCAACCTACCAGAGCTCTTGCAGCATGAACTGACATGTTGTCCATCCAATCAAAGGATCAGAGAATGAATCTAGTACTGAAAGCATAAGCTACAGCTAGCTAGCATTGCGGTGCATAAAGTGTGTTGAGTAGTTGACTCAAAGCAGCAGAGAGAGAGAGAAATATAGATTATTTGTTTGTTTGTTTACCTTTCCCTTAATTAGCTAAGGCAGCTAATTTAGCCTACTCAACAACCTGACCTTAAACAGAGGAATGCTATTTATGTTAGCTAGCTGGCTAAGGTTATCCAACACTGCAACTCTTCCAACTCAAGGTAAGCTTTCGGTTGTATTAATTTATTGCCACCGGGGTCTGCCGGTTTAACTGTTAAACTGCTTGCTGTACACTCTACTACTTGATTGTACCCATGGATTCATGGTTTACTACCGCATTAGTTCTAGTAGCTATATTGACTATGACGTTTGCTAATATGGTGACAACGATGTAGGCTGTGTAGCGGTTAGCGGCTATGGTATAAAGGTTTGGTTTAGAGAGGTTTTTTTGCCTGGTCACAGACAGCTGTTGTGTTGTGCACTGAAGTCCACCAGCGAAAAGGTGAGAGGAGGAGAGCGCGTAGTTGCGAGAAGGAATTATACAACGAGCAAAGTGATCATGCTGTATGTGGCTGCTATGAATGTGAACTGTGTGTGTCGGTGATCAGGGTGTATTCATTCCGCCGATTCTGTTGCAAAATGTTTCTTAAATAGAAGCAAACTGAACTAAATGGGGAAGGACCTACCTGAATTTGTCCAATAGAAACTCTAGTTTTAGTTGCAAAAATGATTACACCCCAGATCAGCTAGATGCAGGCGAGAGTGTGCAAGGCGGTATTGAATGTGTCACTGTCTGTCACCTTGATTACTCCGATTTATCTCTCGACCTGTGCACCTTCGTTATAAACTTTCATTTGTAGGCTAGGTTGAAGCAACCTCATGATGGGTATAGGGAAAATTTTAGTATCATGTAGTAGCCTAAACCTAGCAATGTTACAATGAGCTGGGTGAATGGAATATGAATGACAGTCATCCAATATGTGACCTGTTTCAGAAAGCTAGGCGTATGTTGCACATCATTACTTCACAGGAGAGGCATTTGAACGTATTTTTCATTTATTTTTATCAAAATGTGTTTTTTGGCAGAAATGCCTTCTGGAACGTGAACTTTCATGTGCCTTAATAACAAACTTGTATACCATCTGTAAATACGAATACAATTGTTAAATTACGAGTTGGTTTAATCACGGAAAAAGACAGGAACCTTCTCGGTAGCCATGATTGGCTGATATAATGGATGGGCTGGACATGCTGGCAGATGAGTTTGGAGCCATCACTAGCACATTACAGGCTGCTGCCTATAGACAGACTAGAAATCACTGGCCACTTTAAGAAATGGAACACTAGCCACTTTAATAATGTTTACATATCTTGCATTACTCATCTCATATGTATATACTGTATTCTATCCTATTCTACTGTATCTTAGTCCATGCCGCTCTGACATCGCTCATCCATAAATGTACAATACCAGTCAAAGGTTTGCACACACCTACTCATTCAAGGGTTTTTCTTTATTTTTAATATTTTTTACATTGTAGAATAATAGTGAATAAAATAAAATAAAATTGTATTTGTCACATGCGCCGAATACAACAGGTGTAGTAGACCTTACAGTGAAATGCTTACTTACAAGCCCTTAACCAACAATGCAGTTTTAAGAAAGAATACCAAAAATAATCACAAAAAACCTCCCGAGTGGCGAAGTGGTCTAAGGCACTGCACCGCAGTGCTAGCTGTGCCACTAGAGATCCTGGTTCGAATCCAGGCTCTGTCGTAGCCGGCCGCGACCGGGAGACCCATGGGGCGGCGCACAATTGGCCCAGCATCGTCCAGGGTAGGGGAGGGAATGGCCGGCAGGGATGTAGCTCAGTTGGTAGAGCTTGGCGTTTGCAACGCCAGGGTTGTGGGTTCGATTCCCATGGGGGGAATCCTAATTTGGGGTGTGAGTATTTAGGAGAAACTGAGGCAGGCTGGCGATGGTACACTCTGTAATTACGTTACCCTGTGATGTTAAAAATAGATTATTCTGCTGCTGGCTCCCCCAACCCAACGCCAGCTTGCAATGGAAATCAGAAACACAGCTAAAGAGGTTAGGTAGGGGAGAGCAATGTTTTTTTCCATTGGGGTATAGATTTCTAACTTCCCCCTATAGAACCTTTTGAGGATCTGAGCACCCATGCCAAATCTTTTCAGTCTCCTTAGGGGGGGAATAGGCTTTGTCGTGCCCTCTTCACGACTGTCTTGGTGTGCTTGGACCATGTTAGTTTGTTGGTGATGTGGACACCAAGGAACTTGAAGCTCTCAACCTGCTCCACTACAGTCCCGTCGATGAGAACGGGGGCGTGCTCGGTCCTCTTCTTTTCCTGTAGTCCACAATCATCTCCTTTGTCTTGATCACGTTGAGGGAGAGGTTGTTGTCCTGGCACCACACGGCCAGGTCTCTGACCTCCTCCCTATAGGCTGTCTCGTCGTTGTCGGTGATCAGGCCTACAACTTTTGTGTCATTGGCAAACTTAATGATGGTGTTGGAGTCATGCCTGGCCATGCAGTCATGAGGGAACAGGGAGTATAGGAGGGGACTGAGCACGCACCGCTGAGGGGCCCCCGTGTTGAGGATCAGTGTGGCGGATGTGTTGTTACCTACCCTTACCACCTGGGGGCGGACCGTCAGGAAGTCCAGGATCCAGTCGCAGAGGGAGGTGTTTAATCCCAGGGTCCTTAGCTTAGTGATGAGCTTTGAGGGCACTATGGTGTTGAACGCTGAGCTGTAGTCAATGAATAGCATTCTCAAATAGGTGTTCCTCTTGTCCAGGTGTGAAAGCGCAGTGTGGAGCGCAATAGAGATTGCATCATCTGTGGATCTGTTGGGGTGGTATGCAAATTGGGGTGGGTCTAGGGTTTCTGGGATAAGGGTGTTGATGTGAGCCATGACCAGCCTTTCAAAGCACTTCATGGCTACATATGTGAGTGCTACGGGTCGGTAGTCATTTAGGCAGGTTACCTTAGTGTTCTTGGGCAAAGGGACTATGGTGGACTGCTTGAAACATGTTGGTATTACAAACTCAGACAGGGACATATTGAAAATGTCAGTGAAGACACTTGCCAGTTGGTCAGCGCATGCTCGGAGTACACGTCCTGGTAATCCGTCTGGCCCTGCGGCCTTGTGAATGTTGACCTGTTTAAAGGTCTTACTCACATCGGCTACGGAGAATGTTATCACATAGTCGTCCGGAACAGCTGATGCTCTCATGCATGTTTCAGTGTTACTTGCCTCGAAGCGAGCATAGAAGTAATTTAGCTCGTCTGGTAGGCTCGTGTCACTGGGCAGCTCGCGGCTGTGCTTCCCTTTATAGTGTGTAATAGTTTGCAAGCCCTGCCACATCCGACGAGCGTCGGAGCCGGATGTTCGATTCGATCTTAGTCCTGTATCGACGCTTGCCTGTTTGATGGTTCATCGGAGGGCATAGCGGGATTTCTTATAAGCTTCCGGGTTAGAGTCCCGCTCCTTGAAAGCGGCAAATCTACCCTTTAGCTCAATGCGGATGTTACCTGTAATCCATGGCTTCTGCTTGGAGTATGTACGTACAGTCACTGTGGGGACGACGTCATCGATGCACTTATTGATGATGCCAGTTACTGATGTGGTGTACTCCTCAATGCCATCTGAAGAATCCCGGAACATATTCCAGTCTGTGCTAGCAAAACAGTCCTGTAGCTTAGCATCTGCTTCATTTGACCACTGGTGCTTCCTGCTTTAGTTTTTGCTTGTCAGCAGGAATCAGGAGGATATAATTATGGTCAGATTTGCCAAATGGAGGGCGAGGGAGAGCTTTGTACACGTCTCTGTGTGTGGAGTAAAGGTGGTCTAGAGTTTTTTTCCCTCTGGTTGCACATTTAACATGCTGGTAGAAATCAGGTAAAATATTTAAGTTTCCCTGCATTAAAGTCCCAGGTCACTAGGAGCGCTGCCTCTGGATGAGTGTTTTCCTGTTTGCTTATGTCCGTATACAGTTCATTGAGTGCGGTCTTAGTGCCATCATAGGTTTGTGGTGGTAAATAGGCAGCTACGAAGAATATAGATAGTGTGGTCTAAAGATTATCATGAGATACTCTACCTCAGGCGAGCAAAACCTCGAGACTTCCTTAGATATCATGCACCAGCTGTTGTTTACAAATATACAAAGACAGCCACCCCTTGTCTTACCAGAGGCTGCCGTTCTATCCTGCCGATACAGTGTATATCCCGCCAGCTGTATGTTATTCATGTCTTCGTTCAGCCACGACCCGGTGAAACATAAGATATTACAGTTTTTAATGTCCCGTTGGTAGGATATTCGTGCCTGTAGTTCGTCCACTTTATTATCAAGCGATTGTAAATTGGCCAATAGTATCGATGGCAAAGGCATATTAGCCACTCGTCGCCGGCTCCTTACCAAGCACCCCGATCTCCTTCCGCGAGATCTCCTTTTCTTTCTACTACGAATGACGGGGATGAGGGCCCTGTCGGGTGTCTGGAGCAAATCCCTCTCGTGCGACTCAGTAAATAAAAATTATTTGTCCAGTTCAAGGTGAGTAATCGCTGTTCTGATGCACAGAAGCTCTTTTCGGTCATAAGAGACGGTAGCAGCAACATTATGTACAAAATAAGTTACAAACAATGCGAAAAAACACACAAAATATCACGGTTGGTTAAGAGTCTATAAAACGGCAGCCATCCCCTCCGGCGCCATCTTCAGTGTTAAATGACAGAAGACATCAAAACTATGAAATAACACATGGAATGATGTAGTAAACAAAAAAAGTGTTATATTTGGCATTCGCTCAACCAGCTTCACCTGGAATGGTTTTCCAACAGTCTTGAATGTGTTCCCACATATGCTGAGCACTTGTTGGCTGCTTTTCTTTCACTCTGCTGTCCGACTCATCCCAAACCATCTCAATTGGGTTGAGGTCGGGGGATTGTGGAGGCCAGGTTATCTGATGCAGCACTCCATCACTCTCCTTCTTGGTAAAATTGCCCTTACACAGCCTGGAGGTGTGTTGGGTCATTGTCCTGTTGAAAAACAAATGATAGTCCCACTAAGCCCAAACCAGATTGGATGGCGTATCGCTGTAGAATGCTGTGGTAGCCATGCTGGTTAAGTGTGCCTTGAATTCTAAATAAATCACAGACAGTGTCACCAGCAAAGCACCCCCACACCATAACACCACCTCCTCCATGCTTTACGGTGGGAAATAAACATGCAGATATCATCCGTTCACCCACATCGCGCATCTCACAAAGACACAGCGGTTGGAACCAAAAATCTCCAATTTGGACTCCAGACCAAAGGACACATTTCCACCGGTCTAATGTCCATTGCTCGTGTTTCTTGGCCCAAGCGGGTCTCTTCTTCTTATTGGTGTCCTTTACTAGTGGTTTCTTTGCAGCAATTCGACCATGAAGGCCTGATTCACACAGTCCCCTCTGAACAGTTGATGTTGAGATGTGTCTGTTACTTGAACTCTGTGAAGCATTTATTTGGCCTGCAATTTCTGAGGCTGGTAACTCTAATGAACTTATCCTCTGCAGCAGAGGTAACTCTGGGTCTTCCATTCCTGTGGTGGTCCTCATGAGAGCCAGTTTCATCATAGCGCTTGAGGGTTTTTGCGACTGCACTTGAAGAAACTTTCAAAGTTCTTGAAATGTTCCGTATTAACTGACCTCGTTTCTCTTTGCTTATTTAAGCTGTTCTTGCCATAATATGGACTTGGTCTGTTACCAAATAGGGCTATCTTCTGTATACCAACCCTACCTTGTCAAAACACAACTGATTGGCTCAAACGCATTAAGAAGGAAAGAAATTCCACAAATTAACTTTTAAGAAGGCACACCTGTTCATTGAAATGCATTCCAGGTGACTACCTCATGAAGCTGGTTGAGCAAATGCCAAGAGTGTGCAAAGCTGTCATCAAGGCAAAGGGTGGCTATTTGAAGAATCTCAAATATAAAATATATTTGATTTGTTTAACACTTTTTTGGTTACTACATGATTCCATATGTGTTATTTCATAGTTTTGATGTTTTCACGATTATTCTACAATGTAGAAAATAGTACAAAATAAAGAAAAACCCTTGAATGAGTAGGTGTGTCCAAACTTTTGACTGGTAATATATTCTTAATTCATTCCTTACTTAGATTTGTGCGAATTGGGTATATGTTGTGAAATTGTTAGATATTACTTGTTAGATATTACTGCACTGTCGGAGCTAGAAGCACAAACATTTCGCTACACCCACAATAACATCTGCTAAACACGTGTATGTGACCAATACAATTATTTTATTGGTCTGCCATGTAGCATGCTTCTGTCTATAACGTGAGCAGCTCAGTATGTGTTGATAGTCATTTCTACCGCAGCGTTTTTGAAAGATATAACGTTAGCCATCGAGAATTACAAACGTTTTGCTACTTTTCTCAACAACATTGATGCCCTGCATTTAGCAGGCGCTATCGACAGATCAGTTGGAAAAAGTTGTAATGGGCTACTTTCTGCACACGCCATGGTCAGTGTGAACCGGAGGGACTTGACACAACGCTGGCCAAACAAAATGTAGCTACAAACAAAACGGAGTTAAACGGTTCCAGTCTGCCGTGAAGCGTTCATCCATGTATACGGGTAAGAGTCTAGCTACATTTTCAGTTATCATAAGTTTCTAATTTTGTCAGAAAGTCGTTTTCATTGCAAGTTAAAGCGTACTGAACGCTAGCTAGTGAACGTTAGCTTGCTGGCTCGCTATCTAACGTTACGTGTATGATCTGTGTAGTAATATTATTTGAATCAGAAAACTATTTGCATTGGTAGTTATAGCCTAATGTTAGCTAGCTAACATTGAACCTAGTTGGTTAGCTTTAGCTACCTGCAGATTCATACTACAGCTATGACAATGTTTGTATTGGTAGTAGTATGAGTTGGGATTATGCCGGCTCACTGTTTAGCTAGCTAGCTAGCTACATGTCTAAACAAAAGACTCCACTTCACCAGATGATTACAGTGCCTTGCAAAAGTATTCATCCCCCTTGGCGTTTTTCCCATTTTGTTGCATTACAACCTGTAATTGAAATAGATTTTTATTTGGATTTCATGTAATGGACATACACAAAATATTCCAAATTGGTGAAGTGAAATGAAAAAAATAACTTGTTTCAAAAAATTATACAAAATAAATAACGGAAAAGTGGTGCGTGCATATGTATTCACCCCCTTTGCTATGAAGCCCCTAAATAAGATCTGGTGCAACCAATTACCTTCAGAAGTCACATAATTAGTTAAATAAAGTCCACTTGTGTGCAATCTAAGTGTCACATGATCTGTCACATGATCTCAGTATATATACACCTGTTCTGAAAGGCCCCAGAGTCTGCAACACCACGAAGCAAGGGGCACCACCAAGCAAGCGGCACCACTTTAAGCCGTACACGCCACAGAGCTGGGCTTTACGGAAGAGTGGCCAGAAAAAAGACATTGCTTAAAGAAAAAAATAATCAAACACGTTTGGTGTTCGCCAAAAGTCATGTGGTAGACTCCCCAAACATATGGAAGAAGGTACTCTGGTCATTCAAGGGCCATTTTCTCAAAAGTGGGATTACAAATTTATCAACTTTCAAAGCAGAATTACTTTCCCATTGTTCCTCAACTGCAGTGTATGATATACCATTTTCTAGCTCTGAGTCTCTAATTTTATCCAATGTAAAAAACACAATTTCAAATGTTGCTACATAGGACTGAATCCATGTGGTGGGTCAAATATGCTGAAATCAAAATAAGGCCATGCTCATAAAAAAAAAGTTGTCCTCCCTAATCTTAAACGACACCGACCGCCACTTACTCTCTCTCCTTCAAACTCTTCACGGTCTGTGCAGCAGCACAACATCCTGTGTCCAGGCTGGCCTGGACTCTAGGAAGTGACCTCACCTCCTCAAATGCCAGATAATATGTTTGACATAAGAAAGCAAAACACCAGGCAGCACTAGCTGGGCTAGCTACAGTAATGAGGGATTTGTTCCCTCCATTAGCCCCCAGTGTTCTGCTCTGCTCTCTGAGGGAGGCCAGGTGGTGTGACATACATATGACTGTGATTAGGGGCCCGGGGCCAGGCGCTGAGGTCCAGAGGGGCCAGGGGGACGTCCTGTAGGAGGCAGCAGCCATTAGCAGCGTGGGATGAACTTGTCAAGACCCTGGAATAGTCCTTACATAACACCTCAGACACAGCTCACATGACTTATACTGGACCACTTCTAAAAGTACTGTTAGTGTGTGGTGGGAAGGTGAGGGGATGTTCCCTCTCAGAAGAAGTGAATGAGTGAGTATTAAGAATGGGTCAGTATTATTCAACATGTAAGGTGTACGGGTTGTGTGCTAAAACAAGGGGAGGGTGGGGGGGGGGGGGGAGAGATGAAGGGGGCACACACGATTTCGAATCTGATTGCGGATTTGAAAAGCAGAGAAGTAGGGGAAGATTTCATTATATGATAAAAATGTTCTCTAACTTGTTGCGTTAGCGGTCAAATCGGCAGTTGTTTGGAAAGTAGTGAATGAGAGGTGTCCTTAACAGCCAGTCAGGTGGCAGCTTGGTGTTAGTGGGAGGATCTGATGATTAGGAAGGGTGGGGGCTTTCATATCTGACTGAGAAGGCAGGGTTGTAGGGGCACGGAAACACACACACACGCACACGCACACAAATGCACATGCACACACACACAAACAAACACGCACACACTCATTAAAAGCTACCATCTGGTCAGCCAATTACTGCCAGTGCCTAATATCTGAACTGGGTACTGAGACCCCCAAATTAAACACAGACCCCCACACTCCTTACCTTATCCACACTTCTCCTCAAGCACACTCAAATACAGCTCACCATAACACTACTGTAACTTAACCTGTGTGCATGACATACTGTACATAGGTATAGGCTGTGAGAGATGTGAGGGGCCTTTGGCCGTTAGCTGTAGCTTTGTGTCTCATTATGTGGTTCTCTTTGGACTGTATAAAGCAGGGAGGGATGGGGGGAAGCAGGGAGGGACGGGGGGAAGCAGGGGCATTCTTCTCTCTGGGCTGGGTGACGGGAACTGTGCTGGAACGAGCACCTGTCACCCCCCACAATCACCACAGAGGTCAGGCAGAACAGAGAGAGAGAGAGAGAGAGAGAGAGAGAGAGAGAGAGAGAGAGAGAGAGAGAGAGAGAGAGAGAGAGAGAGAGTGGGGTTAAAGGAGAGAGAGAGAAACGAGCCCTTTTTCTCACTGTCTGGCCCTCCCTCTTCCTCTGCCTACCCTCCCTCATGCTCTACCTCTATTCTTCTTTCTCCCTCTCTCACTCTCGCTCTCCCTCTCCCTCTCCCTCTCCCTCTCTCACTCCCTCTCTCACTCTCCCTCTCCCTCAGTTTTTTCTCTCTCATGTCCTTTGTTTTTTTTCTTTCCCCCTCTATTTCATTTCCAAACAGCTTAATCAGTCTAAATGACATTCCTAAAGCAGCATATGTTGCCAAAGCCCCAGATTGACTGAATCATGTACAGGATAAATATCTGTATAATATTTGCATAAACATTTTTTGCATTGATAACGAGGAGCACCAGCTGTTACTAAAGGCCCTCCCATTGGTCTCTCCACCTCTCTATCCCTCGCCTAGTCACCTTCATTTGTTCTCCTAGCCCACTTCTCATCCCTCTCTCTCTCTGACAGGGGAACGAGCAGCAGAGCCATCCTGCTCTTCAGCCTTACCCTTCAGTCACCCTCTGAACGACCAAGACAAAGGAGAGGAAAGCTGCTGGACACATCACTATTACAACCACTAACAGAAACAGAAAAAAGACACCAGCCATCCATTCCCCACATGCCCTCACCCCTCCTTCTATAGCAGAAGATAACCTAAAACTATATGAGAGATTTATCTTACATACTACCACCTAGAAAATACCACCAAAATGACCCAGGAGTAATAAAAATACCACCAAAATGACCCGGGGGGGCACAAGTGCTTTCAACTTACTCTTGAAAGTTGTAATAGTAGAATGCACAAGGTGCCATTTCGAAATAATCAGTTGTCCTCTTGTATTGTCAGTCATTGCATACCTTAGAGAGCTATTTAGAACTTGTCAGAAATTTCCATATCAAAACATTGTTTTTTAGCTAGGTTTTTTAGCCCATAGATTTTTTTGTAATGTTCGAGTCACTGAAATATCGCATGAATACACATTAGATATGGCAAAATGTATAGAATTGCAGGAAATTAGCTTTAAATCTGCAAAATGTTCTCTCCGCCAACAAGAGGGCTGTGAACAGTTTGAGGTCCAGAGGGGCCAGGGAGACACATGTGGCCATGTGTGTCTCAGTCTCTTACCTCCCTGTCCTTGAGCTTCATAGCCAGGACCAGCTGGTGGCGGTGGTTGGTCAGGGCCTCGCGGTAGTTCCCCTTGGAGAAGAATGCTGAGCCCAGGTTGCCATGGGCACGGCATTCACCTGTTTGGTCACCTGGAGCGGAGGAGGAAAGGGAGGAGAGGGAAGTGAGGACATGTATGGGAAAGTCACTCCAGGACAGTATGGGACAAAGGACAATGTTCTCTATACAAATTCATCTGAGAACATAATCAATACTTTGTAACTTTCAATACAAGCATCTGTATAATTGTTTGTTTACCACTCAGGTTATATACAGTACAACAGGAAAATCACTACTAAATGTGCTGTCATTCAGTGTGGATCTTCAGGGCAGTCATGGTCCTCTACCATCTTAGAGCAGTGATGCAGTGATGCGATGGATCTCCTTGACACTGACATCCCATTATGTCATTAAATGGAGAGCTGGGCGTTCGAAGCTGCTGTACAGACAGAGCTCCACAGTAGAAGTAGACATGCTAGACCTGACCTCCAGGCCCCAGTGGGGTGAGAGGAGGAGAGGGGGAGGCCTTATTACATCTGCCTGACAGACAGGCCCCCCCCCCCCATACAGGGCCAGAGAGTCAGGCTCTCTACCTAAAAACCACAGTGCACTGCTCCATCCAGACCCTTATCTCCTACTGCTCTACTCTACACTGCCCACTCATGTGTCAAACTGTGTGGGGTAAGGAGAGTCCAGGCAATCTGGGTTGCCTCACACACACAGTAACTCAGGACAAGATAGAGACGCACAAATACACACAGATATGAACAGAAATATACAGACAAAAACACACACACAAACACCCCTGTGGTCTCACCTAGTGACTTGGAAACCTCTAGGTCTTGCTGCATGTATCCGGTGCTCTTCTCTGCATTGCCCAGGGACCAGTGGGCGCTGCTGAGGGCTGAGAATACAGAGCCGCGCAGCTTGAGGCTGCAGGTACCGATCTTTAACGCGGCCTCCAGGACCACTACGGAGGCGGTGTGGTGGGCCGCCGTCAGCAGCTCCTGACCAATCACTGACACCACCACGAATGGACTCTTGTCCAGCTTCATCTTCTGCAGCTGTTGGTAGGTGGGTTCCAGGGACTCTGTGTGGAGGGAGGGAGGTAGGGGAGAGGAGGGGGTTAGGGATGGTCATGATGAGGGCTACTGGACTCATTCAGATAGCTTTTTTGTATTCCTTTCAGTTTCAAGGAATACACAAGGTGCTCCATACTGCAGCTCATCAACAATGACTGTATGCAGCTTCGGTAAAATACTGTACACTAGGCAAGTTGATTGGTTCACATGAATATATTGTAAAAGGGAAAATCTCAATAGCTCCATATAAACCCATCCCAGTCCTCAGTGCATCTAGTTAGGTCTGGCACAATTATTGTATAATCGTGTAACCGACGAATATGGATGAAGACCATCATGAAAATAAAATAACCGTCATAAACGTTTTGATATACACTACCGTTCAAAAGTTTGGGGTCACTTAGAAATGTCCTTGTTTTCCATGAAAACATACATGAAATGAGTTTTATTGCTTCTTTAATCAGCACAACAGTTTTCAGCTGTGCTAACATAATTGCTAAAGGGTTTTCTAATGATCAATTAGCTTTTTAAAATGATAATCTTGGATTACCAAACACAACGTGCCATTGTAACACAGGACTGATGGTTGCTGAATGGGCATCTGTACGCCTATGTAGATATTCCATTAAAAATCAGCCATTTCCAACTACAATAGCCATTTACAACATTACCCATGTCTACACTGTATTTCTGATCAATTCAGAAAATCCAGAAAATCACATTGTAGGATTTTTTATGAATTTATTTGCAAATTATGGTGGAAAATAAGTATTTGGTCAATAACATAAGTTTCTCAATACTTTGTTATATACACTTTGTTGGCAATGACACAGGTCAAACGTTTTCTGTAAGTCTTCACAAGGTTTTCACACACTGTTGCTGGTATTTTGGCCCATTCCTCCATGCAGATCTCCTCTGGAGCAGTGATGTTTTGGGGCTGTCGCTGGGCAACACAGACTTTCAATTCCTTCCAAAGATTTTCTATGGGGTTGAGATCTGGAGACTGGCTAGGCCACTCCAGGACCTTGAAATGCTTCTTACGAAGCCACTCCTTCGTTGCCCGGGCGGTGTGTTTGGGATCATGTCATGCTGAAAGACCCAGCCACGTTTCATCTTCAATGCCCTTGCTGATGGAAGGAGGTTTTCACTCAAAATCTCACGATACATGGCCCCATTCATTCTTTCCTTTACACGGATCAGTCGTCCTGGTACCTTTGCAGAAAAACAGCCCCAAAGCATGATGTTTCCACCCCCATGCTTCACAGTAGGTATGGTGTTCTTTGGATGCAACTCAGCATTCTTTGTCCTCCAAACATGACGAGTTGAGTTTTTACCAAAAAGTTCTATTTTGGTTTCATCTGACCATATGACATTCTCCCAATCCTCTTCTGGATCATCCAAATGCACTCTAGCAAACTTCAGACGGGCCTGGACATGTACTGGCTTAAGCAGGGGGACACGTCTGCCACTGCAGGATTTGAGTCCCTGGCGGCGTAGTGTGTTACTGATGGTAGGCTTTGTTACTTTGGTCCCAGCTCTCTGCAGGTCATTCACTAGGTCCCCCCGTGTGGTTCTGGGATTTTTGCTCACCGTTCTTGTGATCATTTTGACCCCACGGGGTGAGATCTTGCGTGGAGCCCCAGATCGAGGGAGATTATCAGTGGTCTTGTATGTCTTCCATTTCCTAATAATTGCTCCCACATTTGATTTCTTCAAACCAAGCTGCTTACCTATTGCAGATTCAGTCTTCCCAGCCTGGTGCAGGTCTACAATTTTGTTTCTGGTGTCCTTTGACAGCTCTTTGGTCTTGGCCATAGTGGAGTTTGGAGTGTGACTGTTTGAGGTTGTGGACAGGTGTCTTTTATACTGATAACAAGTTCAAACAGGTGCCATTAATACAGGTAACGAGTGGAGGACAGAGGAGCCTCTTAAAGAAGAAGTTACAGGTCTGTGAGAGCCAGAAATCTTGCTTGGTTGTAGGTGACCAAATACTTATTTTCCACCATAATTTGCAAATAAATACATTAAAAATCCTACAATGTGATTTTCTGGACACATTTTTCTCAATTTGTCTGTCATAGTTGACGTGTACCTATGATGAAAATTACAGGCCTCTCTCATCTTTTTAAGTGGGAGAACTTGCACAATTGGTGGCTGACTAAATACTTTTTTTCCCCACTGTAACTATTTCCCTGTATTTAGCGCCATCCATCATTCCTTCAATTCTGACCAGTTTCCCAGTCCCTGCCAATGAAAAACATCCCAACAGTATGATGCTGCCACCACCATGCTTCACTGTGGGGATGGTGTTCTTCGGCTTGCAAGCCACCCCCTTTTTCCTCCAAACATAACGATGGTCATTATGGAAAAGTGGAGCTGAAGAAGATGGCTGCAGTTTTACAGCCCTCTAACCAATTGCACTATTATGTGTGTTTTTTCGCGTTATTTTTAATTTATTCTGTACAAAATGTCTCTGCCACCGTCTCTTATGACCAAAAAGAGCTTCTGGATATCAGGACAGCGATTACTCACCTCGTATTGGACAAAGATTTTTTCTTCATCGAGTCGGACGTGAAGGATATCCTACAGACACCCAACAAGGCCCAAATCCCTGTCATTCACATGAGAAAGAGATGGAGATATCGTGGACGTAGGTCAGGGTGCCTTGTAAGGATCCGACGGCGAGCAAGTAAATTGCCTCTTCCATCAATCCTATTAGCCAATGTTCAGTCATTTGAAAACAAATTGGACGACCTACGATGAAGGTTATCCTACCAACGGGACATTAAAAACTGTAATAACTGTTTCACCGAGTCGTGGCTGAACGACGACATTGATAACATACAGCTGGCGGGATATACGCTACATTGTCAGGATAGAACGGCTCACTCCGGTAAGACAAGGGGTGGTGGTCTGTGTATATTTGTAAACAACAGCTGGTGCATAAAATCTAACACTAAGGAAGTCTCGAGGTTTTGCTCGCCGGAGGTAAAGTATCTCATGATAAGCTGTAGACCACACTATTTACCAAGAGAGTTTTCATCTATATTTCTTGTAGCTGTCTATCTACCACCACAAACCGATGCTGGAACTAAGATTGTACTCAATGAGCTGTATAAGGCCATAAATAAACAGGAAAACGCTCATCCAGAGGCAGCGCTCCTAGTGGCCGGGGACTTTAATGCAGGGAAACTTAAATCCATTCTACCTCATTTCTACCAGCATGTTAAATGTGCAACCAGAGGGGAAAAAACTCTAGACCACCTTTACTCCACACACAGAGACGCATACAAAGCTCTCCCTCGCCCTCCATTTGGCAAATCTGACCATAACTCTATCCTCCTGATTCCTGCTTATTAGCAAAAACTAAAGCAGGAAGCAGCAGTGACTCGGTTAATAAAAAAGTGGTCAGATGAAGCAGATGCTAAGCTACAGGACTGTTTTGCTAGCACAGACTGGAATATGTTCCGGGATTCTTCAGATAGCATTGAGGAGTACACCACATCAGTCACTGGCTTCATCAATAAGTGCATCGATGACGTCGTCGCCACAGTGACCATACGTACATACCCCAACCAGAAGCCATGGATTACAGGCAACATCCGCACTGAGCTAAAGGGTAGAGCTGCCGCTTTCAAGGAGCGGGACTCTAACCCGGACGCTTATAAGAAATCTCGCTATGCCCTCCGATGAACCATCAAACAGGCAAAGAGTCAATACAGGACTAAGATTGAATCGTACTACACCGGCTCTGAAGCTCGTCGGATGTGGCAGGGCTTGAAAACTATTACAGACTACAAAGGGAAGCACAGCCGTGAGCTGCCCAGTGACACAAGCCTACCAGATGAGCTAAATCACTTCTATGCTCGCTTCGAGGAACGCAACACTGAAGCATGCATGAGAGTATCAGCTGTTCCGGATGACTATGTGATAACATTCTCCGTAGCCGATGTGAGTAAGACTTTTAAGCAGGTCAACATTCACAAGGCCGCAGGGCCAGATGGATTACCAGGACGTGTACTCTGAGCATGTGCTGACCAAATGGCAAGTGTCTTCACTGACATTTTCAACATGTCCCTGACTGAGTCTGTAATACCAACATGTTTCAAGCAGACCACCATAGTCCCTGTGCCCAAGGACACTAAGATAACCTGCCTAAATGACTACCGACCACTAGCACTAACGTCTGTAGCCATGAAGTGCTTTGAAAGACTGGTCATGGCTCACATCAACACCATTATCCCAGAAACCCTAGACCCACTCCAATTTGCATACCGCCCCAATAGATCCACAGATGATGCAATCTCTATTGCACTCCACACTGCCCTTTCCCACCTGGACAAGAGGAACACCTACGTGAGAATGCTATTCATTGACTACAGCTCAGCGTTCAACACCATAGTGCCCTCAAAGCTCATCACTAAGCTAAGGATCCTGGGACTAAACACCTCCCTCTGCAACTGGATCCTGGACTTCCTGACGGGCTGTCCCCAGGTGGTAAGGGTAGGTAACAACACATCTGCCATGCTGATCCTCAACACGGGGGCCCCTCAGGGGTGCGTGCTCAGTCCCCTCCTGTACTCCCTGTTCACCCATGACTGCATGGCCAGGCACGACTCCAACACCATCATTAAGTTTGCCGACGACACAACAGTGGTAGGCCTGATCACCGATAACGATGAGACAGCCTATAGGGAGGAGGTCGGAGACCTGGCCGTGTGGTGCCAGGATAACAACCTCTCCCTCAACGTGATCAAGACAAAGGAGAAGATTGTGGACTACAGGAAAAAAAAGAGGACTGAGCACGCCCCCATTCTCATCGACGGGGCTGTAGTGGAACAAGTTGAAAGCTTCAAGTTCCTTGGTGTCCACATCAACAACAAACTATCATGGTCCAAACACACCAAGACAGTCGTGAAGAGGGCACGACAAAGCCTATTCCTCCCCAGGAAACTGAAAAGATTTGGCATAGGTCCTCAGATCCTCAAAAAGTTATACAGCTGCACCATCGAGAGCATCCTGACTGGTTGCATCATCGACTGGTATGGCAACTGCTCAGCCTCCGACCGCAACGCACTACAGAGGGTAGTGCGTACGGCCCAGTAAATCACTGGGGCCAAGCTTCCTGCCATCCAGGACCTCTATATCAGGTAGTGTCAGAGGAAGGTCCTCAAAATTGTCAAAGACTCCCGCCACCCTAGTCATAGACTGTTCTCTCTGCTACCGCACGACAAGCGGTACCGGAGCACCAAATCTAGGTCCAAAAGGCTTCTCAACAGCTTCTACCCCCAAGCCATAAGACTCCTGAACAGCTAATCATGGCTACCCAGACTATTTGCACTGCCCCCCCACCCCACCCCACCCCATCCCCCTCTTTTACGCTGCTGCTACTCTGTTTATTATTTATGCCTAGTCACTTTAACTCTACCCACATGTACAGTGAGGGAAAAAAGTATTTGATCCCCTGCTGATTTTGTACGTTTGCCCACTGACAAAAAATTGATCAGTCTATAATTTTAATGGTAGGTTTATTTGAACAGTGAGAGACAGAATAACAACAAAAAAATCCAGAAAACATGTTACGGTGGGGAAAAAAAGTATTTAGTCAGCCACCAATTGTGCAAGTTCTCCCACTTAAAAAGATGAGAGAGGCCTGTAATTTTCATCATAGGTACACGTCAACTGACAGACAAAATGAGAAAAAAAATCCAGAAAATCACATTGTAGGATTTTTAATGAATTTATTTGCAAATTATGGTGGAAAACAAGTATTTGGTCACCTACAAACAAGCAAGATTTCTGGCTCTCACAGACCTGTAACTTCTTCTTTAAGAGGCTCCTCTGTCCTCCACTCGTTACCTGTATTAATGGCACCTGTTTGAACTTGTTATCAGTATAAAAGACACCTGTCCACAACCTCAAACAGTCACACTCCAAACTCCACTATGGCCAAGACCAAAGAGCTGTCAAAGGACAAAATTGTAGACCTGCACCAGTCTGGGAAGACTGAATCTGCAATAGGTAAGCAGCTTGGTTTGAAGAAATCAACTATAGGAGCAATTATTAGGAAATGGAAGACATACAAGATCACTGATAATCTCCCTCGATCTGGGGCTCCACGCAAGATCTCACCCCGTGGGGTCAAAATGATCACAAGAACGGTGAGCAAAAATCCCAGAACCACACGGGGGGACCTAGTGAATGACCTGCAGAGAGCTGGGACCAAAGTAACAAAGCCTACCATCAGTAACACACTACGCCGCCAGGGACTCAAATCCTGCAGTGCCAGACGTGTCCCCCTGCTTAAGCCAGTACATGTCCAGGCCCGTCTGAAGTTTGCTAGAGTGCATTTGGATGATCCAGAAGAGGATTTGGAGAATGTCATATGGTCAGATGAAACCAAAATATAACTTTTTGGTAAAAACTCAACTCGTCGTGTTTGGAGGACAAAGAATGCTGAGTTGCATCCAAAGAACACCATACCTACTGTGAAGCATGGGGGTGGAAACATCATGCTTTGGGGCTGTTTTTCTGCAAAGGGACCAGGACGACTGATCCGTGTAAAGGAAAGAATGAATGGGGCCATGTATCGTGAGATTTTGAGTGAAAACCTCCTTCCATCAGCAAGGGCATTGAAGATGACACGTGGCTGGGTCTTTCAGCATGACAATGATCCCAAACACACCGCCCGGGCAACGAAGGAGTGGCTTCGTAAGAACCATTTCAAGGTCCTGGAGGGGCCTAGCCAGTCTCCAGATCTCAACCCCATAGAAAAGCTTTGGAGGGAGTTGAAAGTCCGTGTTGCCCAGTGACACCCCCAAAACATCACTGCTCTAGAGGAGATCTGCATGGAGGAATGGGCCAAAATACCAGCAACAGTGTGTGAAAACCTTGTGAAGACTTACAGAAAATGTTTGACCTGTGTCATTGCCAACAAAGGGTATATAACAAAGTATTGAGCAACTTTTGTTATTGACCAAATACTTTTTTTCCACCATAATTTGCAAATAAATTCATAAAAAATCCTACAATGTGATTTTCTGGATTTTTTTTCTCATTTTGTCTGTCATAGTTGACGTGTACCTATGATGAAAATTACAGGCCTCTCTCATCTTTTTAAGTGGGAGAACTTGCACAATTGGTGGCTGACTAAATACTTTTTCCCCCCACTTTCTTCTCCTTTCCCCCTTCTGATAACCAGGTGGCGAATCGCATCTCTGCATGTCTGGCCGACATATCAGTATGGATGACGGATCACCACCTCAAGCTGAACCCTGGCAAGACGGAGCTGCTCTTCCTCCCGGGGAAGGACTGCCCGTTCCATGATCTCGCCATCACGGTTGACAACTCCGTTGTGTCCTCCTCCCAGAGTGCGAAGAGCCTTGGCGTGACCCTGGACAACACCCTGTCGTTCTCCGCCAACATCAAGGCGGTGACCCGATCCTGCAGGTTCATGCTCTACAACATTCGGAGAGTACGACACTGCCTTACACAGGAAGCGGCACAGGTCCTAATCCAGGCACTTGTCATCTCCCGTCTGGATTACTGCAACTCGCTGTTGGCTGGGCTCCCTGCTCAGCCCAGTCAAAGCTGTTCGCTGCTCTGGCACCCCAATGGTGGAACAAGCTCCCTCACGACGCCAGGACAGCGGAGTCACTCACCACCTTCCGGAGACATTTGAAACCCCACCTCTTTAAGGAACACCTGGGATAGGATAAAGTAATCCTTCTACCCCCCCCCCCCCCCCAAAAAAAAAAAAGTATAATTGTAAAGTGGTTATCCCACTGGCTATAGGGTGAATGCACCAATTTGTAGTCGCTCTGGATAAGAGCGTCTGCTAAATGACGTAAATGTGCCCTTGAGCAAGGCACTTAACCCTAATTGCTCCTGTAAGTCGCTCTGGATAAGAGCGTCTGCTAAATGACTAAAATGAAAATGAAAATGACTTTATAAATTGATTTGCATTTTAATGAGGGAAATAAGTATTTGACCACCTCTCAATCAGAAAGATTACTGGCACCCAGGTGTCTTTTATACAGGTAACGATCTGAGATTAGGAGCACACTCTTAAAGGGAGTGCTCCTAATATCAGCTTGTTACCTGTATAAAAGACACCTGTCCACAGAAGCAATCAATCGATCAGATTCCAAACTCTCCACCATGGCCAAGACCAAAGACCTCTCCAAGGATGTCAGGGACAAGATTGTAGACCTACACAAGGCTGGAATGGGCTACAAGACCATCGCCAAGCAGCTTGGGTGAGAAGGTGATAATGGAAGAAAACAACAAAAGACCTGTATCCCTCGGCCTGGCTCAGATTCAGTGTGAAATCATGAACGGTGAGAACACCCAGAAACGCGGAGGACTGCAATGATCTCCAGCTGGGACCATAGTCACCAAGAAAACAATTGGACTACGCCGTGATGAATCCTGCACGACGATCCCCTGCACACGGTCTGAAGTTTGCATGAACATCTAAATGATTCAGAGGAGAACTGGGTGAAAGTGTTGTGGTCAGATGAGACCAAAATCGAGCTCTTTGGTATCAACTCAACTCGCCGTGTTTGGAGGAGGAGGAATGCTGCCTATGACCCCAAGAACACCATCCCCACCGTCAAACATGGAGGTGGAAACATTATGCTTTGTGGGTGTTTTTCTGCTAAGGGGACAGGACAACTTCACCGCATCAAAGGGACGATGGACGGGGCCATGTACCGTCAAATCTTGGGTGAGAACCTCCTTCCCTCAGCCAGGGCATTGAAAATGGGTCGTGGATGGGTATTCCAGCATGACAATGACCCAAAACACACGGCCAAGGCAACAAAGGAGTGGCTCAAGAAGAAGCACATTAAGGTCCTGGAGTGGCCTAGCCAGTCTCCAGACCTTAATCCCATAGAAAATCTGTGGAGGGAGTTGAAGGTTCGAGTTGCCAAACGTCAGCCTCGAAACCTTAATGACTTGGAGAAGATCTGCAAAGAGGAGTGGGACAAAATCCCTCCTGAGATGTGTGAAAACCTGGTGGCCAACTACAAGAAACGTCTGACCTCTGTGATTGCCAACAAGGGTTTTGCCACCAAGTACGAAGTCATGTTTTGCAGAGGGGTCAAATACTTATTTCCCTCATTAAAATGCAAATCAATTTGTAACATTTTTGACATGCGTTTTTCTGGGTTTTTTTGTTGTTATTCTGTCTCTCACTGTTCAAATAAACCTACCATTAAAATTATAGACTGATCATGTCTTTGTCAGTGGGCAAACGTACAAAATCAGCAGGGGATCAAATACTTTTTTCCCTCACTGTACATATTACCTCAATTACCTCGACTAGCTGGTGCCCCCGAACATTGACTCTGTACCGGTACCCCCCTGTATATAGCCTCCCTACTTTTATTTTACTTTACTGCTGCTCTTTAGTTATTTGCTTTTATTAATTTTTTACTTAACACTTTTTTATTTTACTTTTTTATTTTTTAAAAACGGCATTGTTGGTTAAGGGCTTGTAAGTAAGCATTTCACTGTAATGTCTACACCTGTTGTATTCGGCGCATGTGGCAAATAAAATTAGATTAGATTTGATTTGATTTATGGCCAAACAGTTCTATTTTTGTTTCATCAGACCAGAGGACATTTCTCCAAAAAGTACGATCTTTGTCCCCATGTGAAGTTGCAAACCGTAGTCTGGCTTTTTTATGGCGGTTTTGGAGCAGTGGCTTCTTCCTTGCTGAGCGGCATTTCAGGTTATGTCGATATAGGACTCGTTTTACTGTGGATATAGATACTTTTGTACCGGTTTCATCCAGCATCTTCACAAGGTCCTTTGCTGTTGTTCTGGGATTGATTTGCACATTTCGCACCAAAGTACGTTCATATCTAGGAGACAGAATGCATCTCCTTCCTGAGCGGTATGACGGCTCCGTGGTCCCATGGTGTTTACACTTGCGTACTATTGTTTGTACAGATGAATGTGGTACCTTCAGGCATTTGGAAATTGCTCCCAAGGATGAACCAGACTTGTGGAGGTCTACAATTTTTTTTCTGAGGTCTTGGCTGATTTCTTTAGTTTTTCCCATAATGTGAAGCAAAGAGGCACTGAGTTTGAAGGTAGGCCTTGAAATACATCCACAGGTACACCTCCAATTGACTCAAATGATGTCAATTAGCCTATCAGAAGTTTCTAAAGCCATGACATCATTTTCTGGAATTTTCCAAGCTGTTTAAAGGCGCAGTCAACTTAGTGTATGTAAACTTCTGACCCACTGGAATTGTGATACAGTGAATTATAAGTGAAACAATCTGTCTGTAAAAAATTGTTGGAAAAATTACTTGTGTCATGCACAAAGTAGATGTCCTAACCGACTTGCCAAAACTATAGTTTGTTAACAAGAAATTTGTGGAGTGGTTGAAAAATGAGTTTTAATGACTCCAACCTACGTGTATGTAAACTTCCTACTTCAACTGTATATCCAGGACCAGTCAAAAGGTTGGACACACCTACTCATTCAAGGGTTTTTCTTTATTTTCACAATTTTTTACATTGTAGAATAATAGTGAAGACATCAAAACTATGAAATAACACATATGGCATCATGTAGTAAACAAAAAAGTGTTAAACATATCAAAATATATTTTATATTTGAGGTTCTTCAAATAGCCACCCTTTGCCTTGATGACAGCTTTGCACACTCTTGGCATTTTGTCAACCAGCTTCACCTGGAATGCTTTTCCAACTGTCTTGAAGGAGTTCCCACATATGCTGAGCACTTGTTGGCTGCTTTCCCTTCACTCTGCCATCCGACTCATCCCAAACCATCTCAATTGGGTTGAGGTCGGGGGATTGTGGAGGCCAGGTCATCTGATGTAGCACTCCATCACTCTCCTTCTTGGTCAAATAGCCCTTACACAGCCTGGAGGTGTGTTGGTCGTTGTCCTGTTGAAAAACAAATGATAGTCCCACTAAGCCCAAACCAGATAGGATGGCGTATCGCTGCAGAATGCTGTGGTAGTCATGCTGGTTAAGTGTGCCTTGAATTCTAAATAAATCACAGACAGTGTCACCAGCAAAGCACCCCCACACCATAACACCTCCTCCTCCATGCTTTACGGTGGGATCTACACATGCGGAGATCATCCATTCACCCACAGCGCGTCTCACAAAGATACGGCGGTTTGAACCAAAAATCTCAAATTTGATCTAATGTCCATTGCTCTTGTTTCTTGGCCCAAGCAGGTCTCTTCTTATTATTGGTGTCCTTTACTAGTGGTTTGTAAATGTACATGTAAAAAAAAATGTTTCTTTGCAGCAATTCGACCATAAAGACCTGATTCGACCAGCTGTTAGAAGCCCATTAGTGCAACTCCCCATTATCGAAACGCCATTTGAGAGGATAGTGATGGATATAGTGGGCCCACTACCCAAATCTGCCAAGAGGGCACCAATATATTCTGGTCATCCTAGATTATGCCACTCGCTACCCAGAAGCCATTCCGGACGATGGCTTCCAAAAATATTGCCAAGGAGTTAGTGCTCCTGTTCACCATGGTAGGGATTCCAAAGGAGATCCTTACTGACCAGGGGACCCCCTTTATGTCCCGCCTTATGGCGGACCTTTGTAAGTAGTGGGAGGTGAAACAGTTGAGGACATCGGTTTACCATCCTCATACGTACGGGCTGGTTGAGAGATTCAACTGCACCCTGAAGTCAATGCTCAGGAAGGTAATCGATAAGGATGGGAAAAACTGGGATTTCATGTTGCCATATCTGATGTTTGCCATTAGAGAGGTTCCCCAAGCCTCGCTGGGGTTTTCACCCTTTGAGCTAGTATATGGGAGGCACCCCCGGGGAATCTTAGACATCGCCGGGAAACCTGGGAGCGCCAGGCCACCCCTTATACTAGAGTTATAGAGCACGTCAATGCAAGACAGGATAGCCACAGTCACAAGAGCACCAGCGCCACACTTATAACTGGCAGGCTACCCTGAGGGAATTTCAACCGGGAGATAAGGTGTTAGTGCTGGTCCCCACGGTAGAGTGTAAACTACTAGCCACATGGAAGGGACCATATAAAGTGCTGAAGAAAATAGGAGAAGTTAATTATCGGATCCGACAGCCAGGTCGTCGGCCCCCGGAACAGATCTATCACATTAACCTGTTAAAAGCATGGAGAGAGAGAGAAACACTAATTGTCACTTACCCAACAACCACTAAGGAGGCAGCCAAAGTACATTTTTCACCTACTCTGTCCCCAGCACAAGTACAGGAAGTAAATACCCTGATCCAGAAAAACAGAGATGTATTTTCATCGATACCAGGACGAACTGAGGTTACGGCTCATGATATTGTTTCCCTACCAGGGAGAAAAGTGAGCATGAGGCCATATTGGGTACCCAAGGCTTGACGAGCGGCGTTTTGAGCGTAGACTGAGAAAATTTTGGCAGCTGGAGTGGTCGAAGAGTCACATAGTGAGTGGTCTAGCCCAATTGTGATGGTCTCCAAGCCCGATGGGTCTTTGTGGTATTGTAATGATTTCCGGAAGGTAAATGAAATCTCGAAGTTTGATGCCTACCCCATGCCCCGAGTAGATGAACTATTGGAGAAAATTGGTAAAGCTCGGTACATTACGACCTTGGACCTAGCCAAAGGTTACTGGCAAATTCCCCTGACCCCCAGAGCCAAAGAAAAGACAGCCTTCGCAACGCCTGACGGTTTGTTTCCATACACTGTCATGCCAATCGGCTTACACAGGGCCCCAGCCACCTTTCAACGGCTAATGGACCAGGTCCTAAAACCGCACAGAGCTTACGCTGCAGCCTATTTAGATGACGTGGGGATCTACAGCCCAGATTGGGAATCCCACTTACCCCGGGTACAGGCAGTGCTAAACGCCCTTAGGAAGGCAGGGCTCACAGCGAACCCTGCCAAGTGTTATGTGGGGTTAGAGGAAACCGAGTATCTGGGATACACCGTGGGAAGAGGGATAATCAAACCCCAACTTAAGAAGGTTGAGGCAATTAGAGGATGGCTGAAACCAGTAAATAAGAAGTCCTAGGGTTGACAGTTTACTATCGGAAGTTCATCCCATATTATGCCACAGTGGCCGCCCCACCTACCGACATGACTAGAGCCAGAGGGCCAAACATGGTAAAATGGGATGAAAAGGCCACCAAAGCATTTAGAACATTACAGGAGGCTCTCTGCTGTAATCCAGTGATGGTGGTACCAGACTTTGAGCGCAAGTTCGTGGTTCAAACGGATGCCTCAGAGGTCGGGTTGGGAGCCGTGCTCTCCCAAGAGGTAGAAGGGGTGGAACACCCCATCCTGTTTTTAAGCAGGAAGCTGGAACCACGGGAGGCCAACTACTCAGTCGTTGAGAAAGAGGCACTTGCAGAAAAGTGGGCTCTAGAAAGCCTGAAATATTACCTGCTAGGGCGCCACTTCACCCTCATCAGTGACCATGCCCCACTCACCTGGATGCATAGGGCTAAAGAGAAGAACGCTCGGGTGATGCGGTGGTTTTTGAGTCTCCAACCGTTTCACTTTGACTTAAAACACAGAGCTGGGAAGGAAATGGGAAATGTGGATGGGTTATCCTGCATGGCATGCACGCCTATATTGCTGCGGTAGCCCAACCTAGGGGGTCGAAGTTAGGGGGGAGATGTGTGGCAAAGAAGGGGGCAGTGTTAAATGGCAGATATGTGAGGGCAGAACTAATAAACGGGCACTTCCCTCTCACTAAAATGGCCACCCCGACAAGAACTACAGATCACAAAATGGCAGACCGCCAAAAACTACAATCCCCAGAAGCAAGGGGAACGCTCGCAAGGTGGGGCCGACCCACATATAAGGGGTCATGACAAACCAGGAAGAGAGAGTGAGAACAAGGGGCTGTGGATCTGTGAACCACGGAAAAATCGAAAAGTGACAATATATATCGGCTGGATTTACCGTGTATGACCTGGACTGTTTGGACTTACCTGTTGGCTGTTGGACCTGGACCTACCGAGAACCTGATTCATGTATCGAACACTGCTATCCTCGACCACGCCTGCGACCTGGGCGGACCAGGATGGAGAAACTAACGTACAGATACTGTCCTGTTTGAAATAACTCTCTCTGGGGTGATTTTGGTGACGGTCTCCCGCTGAATTTGTGTACAAACTCTCCTAACCTTGAAGAGGATTGTCACAATATATATTTTTCTTTGGTGTGTAACGAACAGCTGACTGAAGACAGGACGGCTGGGCATTCGTGCGGTTGAGTCAGTTTCAGCGGTAACATGGACTCTTTACAATGTGATGGAACTTTGTTGCTCCTTGCTGAAACAAGCACGTGTTGTAGCAAACAAGTCTTTGGTTGCCTAGGCAACACCCCCTCCCTGCAGCAGAAGCACATGCAGTCAGGAGCGGAGGAGAGAAGAAATTGTGTTTCTTTTAATATATCAAACGATTTTAACGTGACTGCAGTCATTTGGCTGACCAATAACCGTCATCCAAAATTCCATGACCGTCACAGCCCTACATCTAGTTTCAGGGAGAGCAATCAGTGTGTCTTTTGTTGGCTAAATGAGCTGAGCTTGTCTGAGTGATTGCTTTACATCATGGATTTCACTGACAACAAGACAAGCAAATGAATACACCATTCACAGGTACCACTATTATGGGCAATTTAATCTAGGGCAATTTCAAAGACCACTATATAAAAAGTGTTTACACATACTCTGACAGCTCTACTGCAAAGCAGCACAGTGAAATTATACTTATATGTTCTTTTGATTTTTTTCATTTGATATTGCAGTTTGAGAGAGAAGAGAAAAGCCTGAGTGGGTTTTGAGGGCCGGTGAATGTTAAGAGTGATGGTGAACATGCTGCTGGTAACACACAGGGGAGAGAGGCAGAGGAATGCAGAGCGGAGAGGAGACACAAGGTGACCTTTGGGAAGGCTGAAAATACACACAATGACATAAATCAATGGTGGGCCACGCAAGGTTTGGGATCCACAGCCCCTCCAGATTACTGACATTACCCAGCCAGCCCGTCAGTCAGCCTGCCAGACAGCCAGGCAGCAGACTGGGAGGCTGACAGGGAGGGGGACGGGACAGGGGTGACATCCTGTGTGCGTATGTATGTGTGCGCGTGCCTGCCTGCGTGTGTGTACTGTATGTGTGAGTGTGTGTATTGTGTATGTGAGTGCAAGTGTGTGAACATGAAAGGGGAATATGAAATATACTTGTGCCCCTTCTGCAAATATTTTTAGCAGAGTTGCAGTTAATTAGGTCAACTCCTCCCCCACAGAGATATTTCTGTAATAATGTACCTGTACAAGGCAGATCATGCCTGCAGTCAGATGTACTGTATGCCTGCTACTGTATCAGTAATGCCCTTAAAGACCATGACACTCATTGGTTCAGACAAACACTTACAAACAACAAAATACACATTAACACTATCTGAATAGCCTGGTGGTAGTACCAATCCACCTACATAGAAACTAATATTCACCACACACACACACAATATGACACACGTCTACAGTCTCCACACAAGCATTCAAAAATATAATTGATGATGCTCTTTCAAGACCATCACTTGTGTTCCAGCGGTTGTCAGAATGTAGCACTAGCAGAGACACTGTGTGCATATCATATCCATTCATAGCTGGTAATTGTATTCAAAGTGACACACAGTCGTGTCATAAATCAAACATTGAGACAACAGTTAAAAGTGTCATGGCTGGTTGATACATAAACAGCTAGTTAAGGCAATGTCAGTGACAGCACTGCACTGTCTCACACACACCAGGAGGATGAGCAGCAACACACACACATTCACATATAAAACACACACACATACACACTGCCTGGGAAGCCATGCTGAAAAGTTGAATAAGAACCCTCTGTTTGCTGCTATGCTATCTCTCTGTCTTTCTTTCTCTCTCTCTCTGTCACGCTCTTATTCTCTCTCTCTCCCAAGTCAAAGCTCCAGAGCTTCAGCGACAGGGCCTTCTCCAGGGATGCTCCAAGGCTCTGGAACTCCCTCCCTCCAGCCATCCGTGACTCTGAATACATCACCATCTTTCAGTCCCTCCTAAAGTCCCACCTCTTCACCTTGGCCTACCTCTAAGCCCCTCCCCACACACACTCTCTCCCACACACGCTCTCTCTCTCTCTCACACATACACACACACACGCGCACAACACCTGCTCGCTCACTCATACACTGACACATCACATTCCTTCCCCTTCTTTAAGCCCCTCCCCTTCTCTTTGTTTCATGTTTTTGTTTCTTCCTGCTGTTAGTCTGGCGTTGTCTTGTTTTGATATCTCGGTATAGTTTAATTGAAAAGTCCCATGTATTATTATTACCAATCCGTTTTCCCCTGCTTTTAAATACAACTATGACTTCACCTTCCCATTTCACGAGCCATTCTCTTCTGTGGGTCTGTGACTGTGAAGAGGCAGAGAGCTGACTGCTGAGGGGGCTAAAGTCCTCTAGTATCCTACGTATGTTTGTCTGCATCTCCATACATACTAAAAGTACTATCTTTTTTCATCATCATGATCATCATTATGGTGACATTGTTTCTCCTCCAACCCTGAGAGTTCAGTCAGAGAACTAATAATAATAATTGTGTGAATTGGAAATGTGTTTTTTGCATGTCCCAACTCACCCTGAGACACCCTCGGAGAGTGGGGTCACGGCCAGGGTCTGACATTATCAACGCGACCCTGGAGCAATTAGGGTTAAGTGCCTTGCTCAAACACACATCAACAGATGTTTAACCTTGTCAGCTCGGGATTCGAACTAGCGACCTTTCGGTTACTGGCCCAACACTCTAAACGCTAGGCTACCTGCGGCCCAAGTTCATCGGACAAACAGAACAGAACCAAGCCCATTTACTCTCAACACTGACTACTGATTGGGCCTGATTTCCCACATTTAATTTCACTCAACGATATTCACCGTAGGAAAAAAAGATGCATCAAAACCTTGATATCTGAGGAGTTCGAAGCTGACATAATGATCATAGGCGGCAGAGAAGAGAGCCAGAGATAGAGAAGGTTCTGAGAGCAGTTTCCCCTCCTTTGAAAGCTCTTTGTTGTGGGAAACACAAAGGCGTACAGTAGAGTAGAAGTCCGGACTCATAGAAAATCTTTCACATCTATGCGAGGAGGAGAGAGAGAAAACTAAGGTCTGTGTTGAGTGGTGTGGGGGAAAGTGTTTGGCAAAGCCACAGTGAGAATGTGGGAATTTAATATTGTTATGCTAAAGTTGAGTACATACAAACAGTGGTGATAAAGTGCGCTTCAGGGGAATTATATACAAAGTTTTTGTCTCCTTGAAGACAAAGGCCTTGAATATGTTTTCTTGCTTTCATTATTTGTGTTCTTTGTTCACTGTTTGAATGAGCACACCTTTATCGGTCTCGCTATGCCCAATGACAGAATAAAAACTAAACATGTAAAAAAATGTGTTGTCCTTAAAACAAGTAGCTACTTGACTACCACTAGTTGGATGTGTATCATCAATATGGAGAGCGATTTTATTCATTACACTTCAACTCTGTATTTAACTGGCTGGGGGAAAAGTTTAGTAAGACCCTGGCGACACCAAACTTCAAGCGAGGGGAAAATTAAATGAGTGGGTTTGGTAATCCCCAGGTAATCCTGGGAGGGGTGTGTTACACGGCCGATAAGACGGGCTGGCAGCAACACGCCATCTTCGACTTCAGCGAGAGAAAGCAACGCTTTCCTACCTTTTCCTTATCACAGAGTTTTGGCTGCGCAACACTGATTATCCTCCCTGTTTGCTGGCGTAACGCTGATTATCTTCCCCCTATGCCAGGAGCCCCTCTGAGAGGATCATTGGTCTTAATCCCACGACCTATCCCCCCTAACAAACTTTGGACTGGCTCCCTCCCTCCGTCGCTAGCTGCTTCCCTCCCTGGTACCATGGGAAACGTGGTAAACAATTAAGAGATTAAAAAGCCTAGGCCAAGAGCTTTTCCTATTCTACTGAGAGAGAGGCCCAGCCAGGTCCACAGTGTTTAGTGTTGGGCCCACTCTCAAGCCCTTTTGCTGTTAGGCTTCCAGTGACAGGTTTATGTAATCAATGTACCTCAGATGGGGTTTTCACTCTGTGCTTGTTTTTTCCATGTATTCAAATACAGCCTTTTGCTAACAAGGATTGACAGAGGCGCTCCATGCAGCCTAAAACACAATGACTCCTCTCTGAACAGAACAGAACACCGCCATGTAGATCCACTCTCTCTGATCTCTCTCACACGTCATGGAGCAGGGAAGTCACAGAGTTTACTGAAAAGCCTGGATATTAAGCTACTTATACATCCACTTGGCTATGGAAAATAGGCTTTAACAAGGGCAGACAAGCTGCATTGTTGGATAAGTTTGAGTAGGTGAGACAGTCCTGTCAGTCGGGGACTTCTTAACAGTCTGCCAAGTGAATACAGATATACAGTAAAATATATACAGTATATACAGAATACAGGTGTAAAGACATACAGTAGTCACTCTGACAGACAGCTAGAGTCACACTGACACATTAATTGACTGACAAGGATGAAGATTAGCGACATTTAGACTGTTCGAAAGACAGAGAGGAAAAAAGAGAGCGATAGTAAGACAGAAGTGTTACCTCGTAGTGGGGACTTCATGGCCGCCTCCACCATGCCCACCAGTAGCTGCAGGCTCTTGGGGTCTTGGGCCAGCCCTGACGCGAAGGCGGCCAACGCGTCGGCATGGCGACCAAGGTACTGAAGGGCAACACCCTGTCGGAAGTATGCCTAGAGAAAGAGAGAGAGAGAGGTCAGTACTGCAGTCTAGCCTCACAGCATGGGGCTGCAAACAAACACATTACCAGACACACTCATTAAAATCCATTTGCATTTTTTTCCACATGAGCAATTTTCAGAGTACATGGCACCACTCTCCTTTGTATTCCCATAATAGAGCGATCACTGTGTTTCCTGTACTTGCTAATTGGATTATACATTTTACATAAATGAACATGATACAGTACACACTCGTCGGTTGCATTTCTCAAGAGCATAACATTGTTTTTATTCACACAAATTGTTAAGTTTTTGTTTGCATTGGGAATCGTCTGCACACAAGTGTGGAGTAAAGGGATTTCTCTTAGATTCTGTTGAAAGAGCTTAGAGAGGGAGAGAGAGCTAGCCTACATAATGGAGTTACTTTGTAGCATCATAAAAGGATACATAAATAATCCAGACACTCCATGCTATTTTTCACAGTATTGTTATAATGACATACAGTACGTGTACTACCACCCTGAATCTGCCATGGCCTATTTGTCGACATCTGGGCCTTTCAATAGTGTGGAGCCCTCGAGTAGAATTCCTTCTCTTCCACCAGTTTGTTCCCACTGCTCCTAGATAGCCAGTCAGTCACATGGTGGTTGAAGTGTGATTTAACACCAGTGAAAGGCACAGAGCATGTGGCCACAGCCATATCTGATTCTGAAACTGTACAATGTTTGGAAGTGTTCCCCTTCCAACAGCCCAGACTAGGCCATAATACAGATTTCAGTAATACAACACTACACAATACAACCCAACCCTCGTCCAACATAATACATATCCAGCCATTTTGTACTAAACCCAACATCCAGGATGACAGTTTCCTCTCCCTCCCCAAAGCCCCTCTACTGGGACTGTCTGAGGTTCTGACTGGGAGACCAGGCTAATCTGTTGTTTGACAGGGAGAACAGGCCAACTAGCAGATTCCAAAAGTGACACTGTCTGTCTGTATCTGAACTTCATACTTTTAATTTTAGAAAATATTAAATGCAACTACCGACTTTTTCCTAATTTGTGTTGCTCAACTGGAGAAGTCCTGGCCTTGACATACTACACAAGCTGAGATCCAATTGGAACAAGTGCATTCACGCTGAGTTGAGCAACACAAATGAGAAAAAAGTTTGGTTGTTTTCAATAAAAGTTTTTATTAAAAGTATGAATTTCAGCACCATGCAGAAGGATCGCGGTTGTACAGGACTAACATAGAGATTTAGGATGGGGCGAAATGCTATTGCCTGGAAATACAATTTAAAGTTTGGTATGGATAGTCCTCCTACATCTTTCCCTCTTCGTAAATTTGTAAATTTTTATCTACAATTGTTTACATTTCCATATACATTTTGAAACTGCACAATGAATTTCATCCCAATAGCCAGAAGGGAGAGCCATGGGAAACATTGAACTACAGAAATTCAGCCATGGCAATACAGTGAGGGAAAAAAGTATTTGATTATAGTATTTGTTTGCCCACTGACAAAGACATGATCAGTCTATAATTTTAATGGTAGGTTTATTTGAACAGTGAGAGACAGAATAACAACAAAAAAACCCAGAAAAACGCATGTCAAAAATGTTATAAATTGATTTGCATTTTAATGAGGGAAATAAGTATTTGACCCCTCTGCAAAACATGACTTAGTACTTGGTGGCAAAACCCTTGTTGGCAATCACAGAGGTCAGACGTTTCTTGTAGTTGGCTACCAGGTTTGCACACATCTCAGGAGGGATTTTGTCCCACTCCTCTTTGCAGATCTTCTCCAAGTCATTAAGGTTTCGAGGCTGACGTTTGGCAACTCGAACCTTCAGCTCCCTCCACAGATTTTCTATGGGATTAAGGTCTGGAGACTGGCTAGGCCACTCCAGGACCTTAATGTGCTTCTTCTTGAGCCACTCCTTTGTTGCCTTGGTCGTGTGTTTTGGGTCATTGTCATGCTGGAATACCCATCCACAACCCATTTTCAATGCCCTGGCTGAGGGAAGGAGGTTCTCACCCTTTGATGCGGTGAAGTTGTCCTGTCCCCTTAGCAGAAAAACACCCCCAAAGCATAATGTATCCACCTCCATGTTTGACGGTGGGGATGGTGTTCTTGGGGTCATAGGCAGCATTCCTCCTCCAAACACGACGAGTTGAGTTGATGCCAAAGAGCTCGATTTTGGTCTCATCTGACCACAACACTTTCACCCAGTTCTCATCTGAATCATTCAGATGTTCATTGGCAAACTTCAGACGGCCCTGTATATGTGCATTCTTGAGCAGGGGGACCTTGCGTCGCTGCAGGATTTCAGTCTTTAACGGCGTAGTGTGTTACCAATTGTTTTCTTGGTGACTATGGTCCCAGCTGCCTTGAGATCATTGACAAGATCCTCCCGTGTAGTTCTGGGCTGATTCCTCACCGTTCTCATGATCATTGCAACTCCACGAGGTGAGATCTTGCATGGAGCCTCAGGCCGAGGGATATTGACAGGTCTTTTGTGTTTCTTCCATTTGTCACCTTCTCACCAAGCTGCTTGGCGATGGTCTTATAGCCCATGCCAGCCTTGTGTAGGTCTACAATCTTGTCCCTGACATCCTTGGAGAGGTCTTTAGTCTTGGCCATGGTGGAGAGTTTGGAATCTGATCGATTGATTGCTTCTGTGGACAGGTGTCTTTTATACAGGTCACAAGCTGATATTAGGAGCACTCCCTTTAAGAGTGTGCTCCTAATCTCAGCTCGTTACCTGTATAAAAGACACCTGGGAACCAGAAATCTTTCTGATTGAGAGAGGGTCAAATACTTATTTCCCTCATTCAAATGCAAATCAATTTATAAAATGTTTGACATGCGTTTTTCTGGATTTTTGTTGTTGTTATTCTGTCTCTCACTGTTCAAATAAACCTACCATTAAAATTATAGACTGATCATTTCTTTGTCAGTGGGCAAACGTACAAAATCAGCAGGGGATCAAATACTTTTTTCCCCTCACTGTATATACATTTTGACAATAGATATTCTGCCAGTTAAAGGAACTGGGATATTATTCCATGTACTGAGGTCGGATTGAATTGATTTGAGCATTCTGTTAAAGTTTCTGGCAATTGTTTTATCAAAGGAAGGAAATATATCTACTCCCAAATATTTAAAATGGGAAACGATTGTGATTCCATAAGTAGAGATGCAGTCCTCCATCGGGGTCTTGAGCAGCAGTAGGGCTGATTTGGTTAGATTCATTTTATAACTTTAATTTATACGATTAATTTATCTATGACCTTCAATGCGTTTGGGAGCAATAGAGATACATTGTCTAGATATAGTAAAATATTGTCTGCGTATAATGAGATGAAGTGATCAGTAGATTTGAGAGAAACTAGTGTTATTTCCTTCGATTGATGAATTGCCTGGGCCAGGGGTTCCATGGATAATAAGAATAGCAAAGCCGAAATTGGATCGCCTTGTCTGCTGCTTCTAGTGATTCTCAATGGATCAGAGCAGATATTGCCTGTTCTAACTATGGATGAGGGATTGGCACATCATTGGATCTTAATGGACGTAAATGTGCCCGCTAAATTAGACATTTTAATAAAAACTATTGCACCTACAAACTTAGTCAATCCGACATATTTTAAGTCTAATGGAAAATACTCAGAAAACTCAATTGCTAATAACACTGTAAAAACTCCGGTATGTGGTTCTCGGTAACGGCTCATGACAAGAGGCGGGGAGTATGCTGTGTACCTCCAATCAAGTTGATTTGCAAAATTTTTAAGAGGCTATGTGTAATACAGTGCCTTCAGAAAGTATTCATACCCATTGATTTATTACACATTTTGTTGTGTTATAGCCTGAATTCAAAATTGATTAAATATTATTTTTTTCTCACCCAACTACACACAATACCCCATAAATGTTTGCAAATTTATTTGAAAAAGAAATACAGAAATGTCTCATTTACATAGATATTCACACCGTTTTGCTATGACACTCCAAATTGAGCTCAGGAGCATCCAATTTCCTTTGATCATCCTCAATATTTACTTGATTGGAGTCCACCTGTGTCCAATTCAATTGTTTGGCCATGATTTAGAAAGAAACACACCTGTCTATATAAGTCCCACAGTTGACAGTGCATGTCAGAGCAGAACCTATATCATGAAGTCCAAAGAACTGTCTGTAGATCTCCGAGATAGAAATGTGATGAGGCATATATCTGGGGAAGGGTATAAAACAATTTCTAGAGTGTTGAAAGTTTCCAAGAGCACAGTGGTCTCCATCATTGGGAAATGGAAGAAAAATATGGAACTACCCAGACTCTGCCTAGAGCTGGTCCGACCAAACTGAGCAAGAAGGACCTTGGTCAGGGAGGTGACCAAGAACCCAATGACCATTCTGACAGAACTACAGAGTTCCTTTGCTGAGATGGGAGAACCTGCCAGAAGGACAACAGTTTCTACAGCACTTCACCAATCTGGGCTTTATGGGAGAGAGGCCAGACGGAAGCCACTCCTGAGAAAAAGTCACATGACAGCACGCCTGGAGTTTGCCAGTCAGTCACATGGTGGTTGAAGTGTGATTTAACACCAGTGAAAGGCACAGAGCATGTGGCCACAGCCATATCTGATTCTGAAACTGTACAATGTTTGGAAGTGTTCCCCTTCCAACAGCCCAGACTAGGCCATAATACAGATTTCAGTAATACAACACTACACAATACAACCCAACCCTCGTCCAACATAATACATATCCAGCCATTTTGTACTAAACCCAACATCCAGGATGACAGTTTCCTCTCCCTCCCCAAAGCCCCTCTACTGGGACTGTCTGAGGTTCTGACTGGGAGACCAGGCTAATCTGTTGTTTGACAGGGAGAACAGGCCAACTAGCAGATTCCAAAAGTGACACTGTCTGTCTGTATCTGAACTTCATACTTTTAATTTTAGAAAATATTAAATGCAACTACCGACTTTTTCCTAATTTGTGTTGCTCAACTGGAGAAGTCCTGGCCTTGACATACTACACAAGCTGAGATCCAATTGGAACAAGTGCATTCACGCTGAGTTGAGCAACACAAATGAGAAAAAAGTTTGGTTGTTTTCAATAAAAGTTTTTATTAAAAGTATGAATTTCAGCACCATGCAGAAGGATCGCGGTTGTACAGGACTAACATAGAGATTTAGGATGGGGCGAAATGCTATTGCCTGGAAATACAATTTAAAGTTTGGTATGGATAGTCCTCCTACATCTTTCCCTCTTCGTAAATTTGTAAATTTTTATCTACAATTGTTTACATTTCCATATACATTTTGAAACTGCACAATGAATTTCATCCCAATAGCCAGAAGGGAGAGCCATGGGAAACATTGAACTACAGAAATTCAGCCATGGCAATACAGTGAGGGAAAAAAGTATTTGATTATAGTATTTGTTTGCCCACTGACAAAGACATGATCAGTCTATAATTTTAATGGTAGGTTTATTTGAACAGTGAGAGACAGAATAACAACAAAAAAACCCAGAAAAACGCATGTCAAAAATGTTATAAATTGATTTGCATTTTAATGAGGGAAATAAGTATTTGACCCCTCTGCAAAACATGACTTAGTACTTGGTGGCAAAACCCTTGTTGGCAATCACAGAGGTCAGACGTTTCTTGTAGTTGGCTACCAGGTTTGCACACATCTCAGGAGGGATTTTGTCCCACTCCTCTTTGCAGATCTTCTCCAAGTCATTAAGGTTTCGAGGCTGACGTTTGGCAACTCGAACCTTCAGCTCCCTCCACAGATTTTCTATGGGATTAAGGTCTGGAGACTGGCTAGGCCACTCCAGGACCTTAATGTGCTTCTTCTTGAGCCACTCCTTTGTTGCCTTGGTCGTGTGTTTTGGGTCATTGTCATGCTGGAATACCCATCCACAACCCATTTTCAATGCCCTGGCTGAGGGAAGGAGGTTCTCACCCTTTGATGCGGTGAAGTTGTCCTGTCCCCTTAGCAGAAAAACACCCCCAAAGCATAATGTATCCACCTCCATGTTTGACGGTGGGGATGGTGTTCTTGGGGTCATAGGCAGCATTCCTCCTCCAAACACGACGAGTTGAGTTGATGCCAAAGAGCTCGATTTTGGTCTCATCTGACCACAACACTTTCACCCAGTTCTCATCTGAATCATTCAGATGTTCATTGGCAAACTTCAGACGGCCCTGTATATGTGCATTCTTGAGCAGGGGGACCTTGCGTCGCTGCAGGATTTCAGTCTTTAACGGCGTAGTGTGTTACCAATTGTTTTCTTGGTGACTATGGTCCCAGCTGCCTTGAGATCATTGACAAGATCCTCCCGTGTAGTTCTGGGCTGATTCCTCACCGTTCTCATGATCATTGCAACTCCACGAGGTGAGATCTTGCATGGAGCCTCAGGCCGAGGGATATTGACAGGTCTTTTGTGTTTCTTCCATTTGTCACCTTCTCACCAAGCTGCTTGGCGATGGTCTTATAGCCCATGCCAGCCTTGTGTAGGTCTACAATCTTGTCCCTGACATCCTTGGAGAGGTCTTTAGTCTTGGCCATGGTGGAGAGTTTGGAATCTGATCGATTGATTGCTTCTGTGGACAGGTGTCTTTTATACAGGTCACAAGCTGATATTAGGAGCACTCCCTTTAAGAGTGTGCTCCTAATCTCAGCTCGTTACCTGTATAAAAGACACCTGGGAACCAGAAATCTTTCTGATTGAGAGAGGGTCAAATACTTATTTCCCTCATTCAAATGCAAATCAATTTATAAAATGTTTGACATGCGTTTTTCTGGATTTTTGTTGTTGTTATTCTGTCTCTCACTGTTCAAATAAACCTACCATTAAAATTATAGACTGATCATTTCTTTGTCAGTGGGCAAACGTACAAAATCAGCAGGGGATCAAATACTTTTTTCCCCTCACTGTATATACATTTTGACAATAGATATTCTGCCAGTTAAAGGAACTGGGATATTATTCCATGTACTGTGGTCGGATTGAATTGATTTGAGCATTCTGTTAAAGTTTCTGGCAATGGTTTTATCAAAGGAAGGAAATATATCTACTCCCAAATATTTAAAATGGGAAACGATTGTGATTCCATAAGTAGAGATGCAGTCCTCCATCGGGGTCTTGAGCAGCAGTAGGGCTGATTTGGTTAGATTCATTTTATAACTTTAATTTATACGATTAATTTATCTATGACCTTCAATGCGTTTGGGAGCAATAGAGATACATTGTCTAGATATAGTAAAATATTGTCTGCGTATAATGAGATGAAGTGATCAGTAGATTTGAGAGAAACTAGTGTTATTTCCTTCGATTGATGAATTGCCTGGGCCAGGGGTTCCATGGATAATAAGAATAGCAAAGCCGAAATTGGATCGCCTTGTCTGCTGCTTCTAGTGATTCTCAATGGATCAGAGCAGATATTGCCTGTTCTAACTATGGATGAGGGATTGGCACATCATTGGATCTTAATGGACGTAAATGTGCCCGCTAAATTAGACATTTTAATAAAAACTATTGCACCTACAAACTTAGTCAATCCGACATATTTTAAGTCTAATGGAAAATACTCAGAAAACTCAATTGCTAATAACACTGTAAAAACTCCGGTATGTGGTTCTCGGTAACGGCTCATGACAAGAGGCGGGGAGTATGCTGTGTACCTCCAATCAAGTTGATTTGCAAAATTTTTAAGAGGCTATGTGTAATACAGTGCCTTCAGAAAGTATTCATACCCATTGATTTATTACACATTTTGTTGTGTTATAGCCTGAATTCAAAATTGATTAAATATTATTTTTTTCTCACCCAACTACACACAATACCCCATAAATGTTTGCAAATTTATTTGAAAAAGAAATACAGAAATGTCTCATTTACATAGATATTCACACCGTTTTGCTATGACACTCCAAATTGAGCTCAGGAGCATCCAATTTCCTTTGATCATCCTCAATATTTACTTGATTGGAGTCCACCTGTGTCCAATTCAATTGTTTGGCCATGATTTAGAAAGAAACACACCTGTCTATATAAGTCCCACAGTTGACAGTGCATGTCAGAGCAGAACCTATATCATGAAGTCCAAAGAACTGTCTGTAGATCTCCGAGATAGAAATGTGATGAGGCATATATCTGGGGAAGGGTATAAAACAATTTCTAGAGTGTTGAAAGTTTCCAAGAGCACAGTGGTCTCCATCATTGGGAAATGGAAGAAAAATATGGAACTACCCAGACTCTGCCTAGAGCTGGTCCGACCAAACTGAGCAAGAAGGACCTTGGTCAGGGAGGTGACCAAGAACCCAATGACCATTCTGACAGAACTACAGAGTTCCTTTGCTGAGATGGGAGAACCTGCCAGAAGGACAACAGTTTCTACAGCACTTCACCAATCTGGGCTTTATGGGAGAGAGGCCAGACGGAAGCCACTCCTGAGAAAAAGTCACATGACAGCACGCCTGGAGTTTGCAAAAAGGCACGTGAAAGACCAAGCATAAGGCAAAATATTCTGTGGTCTGATGAGACCAAAATGTTACTATTTGGGCTGAATGCAAAGCGCTGTGTCTGGAGAACACCAGGCACAGCTCATCACCCGTCTAACACCATCCCTACCGTGAAGCATGGTGGTGGCAGCATCATGCAATGTGGATGCTTTTCAGTGACAGGGACTGGGAGACTGGTAAGGATAGAGGTAACAATGAATGGAGCCAAATACAAGCAAATCCTTGATGAGAACTTGCTTCAGAGTACAAACGACCTAAGACTGGGGCGAAGATTTACATTCCAACAGGACAATGACCCCAAGCATACAGCCAAAGCAATGCTGGAATGGCTTCAGAACAAGAATGTGAAAGTCCTTGAGTGGCCCAGCTAAAGCCCAGACTTGAATCTCATTGAAAATCTGTAGAAAGACTTGAAGATTGCTGTTCACCGCCGCTCCCCATCTAACTTAACAGAGCTTGAGAAAATCTGCAAGGAAGAATGGGAGAAAATCCCCAAATCCAGATGTGCAAAGCTGATACAGACATACCCAAGATGACTCAAAACTGTAATCGCCGCCAAAGGTGCTTCTACAGAGTATTGACTCAGGGGTGTGAATACATATAAATGAGATACAGTATTTCATTTTCAATAAATTAGCAAACATTTCTAAAAACATTTTTCACTTTGTCATTATGTGTGTAGATATATTTTTCATCAATTTTGAATTCAGGCTGTAACACAACAAAATGTGGAATAAGTCAAGTGGTATGAATACTTTCTGAAGGCACTGTATATGCAATTCTAAGAGGCTAGGTGTACTATATGTAATTCTAAGAGGCTAACCTGCAGTCAGTCTGAGCTACTCCCTTCCCACTGAGGAGACTGACTGCAGTAGCTAGCAGCTTCCAAAAGTGACACGGAGGATAATTTGTGATTAGCATCTAAGAGGCCTTTTCATTAGTGTGCTCCAGCCTCTACCCAGCCTCTCTCCAGCCTCTCCGCAAGCACCAGTAGGGAAGGGGAAAAGGGGAGGGGATTAGGAAAAATGAGACATGACATTGAATTTATGGAGACCCGTAATTAATTTAGCTTCCGTCCAAGCCGCTGTTGATTACCAATCTCTCTCTGCCCTCGTCCCCCTCTCTCTTCTTCCCCCCACTCTGCATCACAACTCCATTGAAACATATGAAGACAGAGATTAGATTCAAAGCATTAACCTTTGTTCTAACACTGTTATTATAGGATGGGAGCAAGGGCCAGTGTGCCTGCCGCTCAATATTAATTGCATCTGGTGGCGGCTGCGGTTGAGTTTGGGCTGCTTGCCGTAGGAGCAGAGAGACAGGCTCGGAGACCTTCTGCCCCGGGGAACAACAGACATTTAAAAGCACTTTTCTCTTTGATTAGATTTACTATATGACTGCTCTTTCATTCCCCTCTGAGAGCCAAGCAGTGACAGAGACAGAGAACCAAGGAGGCAGGAAAAAAACTAATTTATTTTATTAGTTTCCCCTCCTGCCCCACATGTAAGTATTTAAAAACCTATACCCTTTAGAGGGCATTCAAATATTGCAAAAACAAGCATATGCATAAATCAAAGAGTGACAGCGGTGAAAGATGAGAAAATCGATGCACCACACCGCCTTAAAATAATTCTCTCTCTTTCATTCATCTCAGCAGTCAAAACACAACATGTAGGCCACACATGCACACACAGACACTTGAACACACATGCACTTGAACACACACACACATGCCAACGCGGTGCTCAACAGGTCGGTTATGCCACTGGCAGGGAGAAGTTGGAGAATACGGAGAGAGACAGAGAGAGAGCATTTACCATTACGACACATTTCTATTCACACTTAACTGGATATTTTCTGAAAACACAGCAGCAACCACTTAGAGCTGCAGCTCAAGCAACTAGCACACCCTCCAGCTCTCAGAGAGGAGAAGAGAGGAGAAAGCATATGTGAGGCTCCACAGATTTGCCTTTCAAACATATTACACAGTCACAAAGGAAAGGCAAAGGAGCCTGCTTAATCACCTTACTGCCTTGCCTAGCCTTGCTTTCTCCCTATATGTAGAGAGGCCAAATGGAGGATAAACACCACTGTTACCAAAGACACTTTAACTACAATACAGCGTGTAACCTGACTACGCTAGGCATCTTGTAAGAAATGACAACCAGCATTTCTCAACCTCTGTTTAGTGTGAAAATAAAACAACCTAAATTATTGAACCTTCCTTCCTGCCTCTCTTTTCAACTACAATGTGCTGATGATACAGAACAAGTGTGGATTGACAAGAAAGTTTTATCGTTCTTACCCCAGGGTGGATTCTGTGTGTGTCTGCATGTGTGTGTGAGAATGAGAGAAAAAAAGAGAGAGCGAGACTAGAGAGACAGAAGGAGAACAGAGCGGAGCTGTGATAACAGCTTTTATTGTGTTTGAACATTTTAATATTTCATGACTGCTTGTTTGAAGTACTTTTAAATATTTATATTTTTATGCTTAAGAGGAAGAGGGGAAATGATGCAAAGAAAAGATATACACATACATACTGGTAGATCGTGCTACACACACACACACACACACACACACACACACACACACACACACACACACACACACAAACACAAACACAAACACACACACACACACACACGTAGCAAAGAGTAGGGCTCCTAGTCGGTGGGGTTTGACAGGAAGTTTACAGGATTACAGGATGTGTGTGTCTGTGTGCGTGTGCGTGAGGGACCAACTGTTAGAGCGCTCTTTATTTGCAGATTTGGGTCCTAATACCCTGGGCATCTGTCCCCCTCCCCAGTCAGTCTGGCCCTTTGACAAGCCTCTATTCTTTACCAGTGTGGCTGAGTGTGTGTGTGTGTGTTTATGCGTTAGCTAATCTTATTTAACACTCACAGTAGTCTCTCTCAAAGCTCTACCACCAGTACTACTTCAATAGATACACTACATGACCAAAAGTATGTGGACACCTAATCGTCGAACATCTCATTACAAAATCATGGGCATTAATATGGAGTTGGTCCCCCCGTTGCTGCTATAACAGCCTCCACTCTTCTGGGAAGGCTTTCCACTGGATGTTAGAACATTGCTGCGGGGACTTTCTTCCATTCAGTCACAAGAGCATTAGTGAGGTCGGGCACTGATGTTGGGCGATTAGGCCTGGCTCGCAGTCGGTGTTCCAATTCATCACAAAGGTGTTCGATGGGGTTGAAGTCAGGGCTCTGTGCAGGCCAGTCAAGTTCTTCCACACGGATCTCAACAAACCATTTCTGTATGGACCTCACTTTGTGCACGGGGGCATTGTCATGCTGAAACAGGAAAGGTCCTTCCCCAAACTGTTGCAACAAAGTTGGAAGCACAGAACCGTCTAGAATGTCATTGTATACTGTAGCATTAAGATTTCCTGTGTAGCTCAGTTGGTAGAGCATGGCGCTTGCAACGCCAGGGTTGTGGGTTCGATTCCCACGGGGGACCAGTATGAAAATGTATGCACTCATTAACTGTAAGTCGCTCTGGATAAGAGCGTCTGCTAAATGACTAAAATGTACTGGAACTAAGGGGCCTAGCCAGAACCATGAAAAACAGCCCCAGACCATTATTCCTCCTCCACCAAATTTTACAGTTGGCACTATGCATTTGGGCAGGTAGCGTTCTCCTGGCATCCGCCAAACCCAGATTTGTCCGTCGGACTGCCAGATGGTGATGCGTGATTCATCACTTCAGAGAACGCGTTTTCACTGCTCCAGAGTCTAATGGTGGCGAGCTTTACACCACTCCAGCAGATGCTTGGCATTGCGCATGGGGATCTTAGGTTTGTTTGCGGCTGCTCGGCCATGGAAACCCATTTCATGAAGCTCCCGACGAACAGTTATTGTGTTGACGTTGCTTCCAGAGGCAGTTTGGAACTCAGTAGTGAGTGTTGCAACCGAGGACAGATGATTTTTACGCGCTACGCACTTCAGCAATCGGCGGTCCCGTTCTGTGAGCTTGTGTGGTCTACCACTTCGCGGCTGAGCCGTTGTTGGACCTAGATGTTACCACTTCACAATAACAGCACTTACAGTTGACCGGGGAAACTCTAGTAGGGCAGAAATTTGACGAACTGACTTTTTGGAAAGGTGGCATCCTATGATGATGCCACATTGAAAGTTACTGAGCTCTTCAGTAAGGCCATTCTACTGCCAATGTTTGTCTATGGAGATTGCATGGTGGTGTGCTTGATTTTATCCACCTGTCAGCAACAGGTGTGGCTGAAATAGCCGAATCCACGAATTTGAAGGGGTGTCCATATACTTTTGTATATATAGTGTAGATGTACACAGAGTTACCGTTAGCCGGTAATAGCCGGCTTTTGGACGATAAAAAATAAATAAAAATACAATGAAAAGCCCCCCCCAAAAAATGATCATTGTGAAATAATGCATTTTAGCCTATTACTTGATTGAAATACCAGTCAATGTAGCGCGAGAGCTGCTGATACAGCTAAAACAGCTATTTGTTGCTGCTGGAGTGAAACGTGCTTTAATAAGCCTAATCTTTACGCAACAATTCTAAAGACAATCGCATGGGGAAAAAACAATGGCGAAGATTAAAAATAGCTACTATTTTTATTTCTCAACTGGTAATTGAAGCGCACTTCCCATTCGCCATTCAAGTGCATAGGCAACTAGGCAGGCTTCAGCGCGTCACACAACACTTTGCAATGAGCTGGAGGCAGTATGCATTTTGAAAACGTATACTTAATTGTTTGAAACCTGAATGTTTTACTACATATTATGTCTTACCTTGCTTCAAAGTAGCCTAGCAAAAATCCAACCAAACGAGCAGGCAATTATTTTATAAAGACTTCCATATGCCATTGAAAACAGTAGCCTATTTCTCTCATGTTCAATTTGTTTTCAAATCAACTTTCTTTCATTGTCCAGTAGCCAAAGGCCTAATCCTAGTCATATTAGCAACCCATGCTAGTTGTTGCATATTTAGATCTCCCTTCTTTCAAAATTTCTAATGGATATTTTCATCTCTGTCACATGAAACCGCTCACAATGGTATTTTCTCTCTAATTGCATTATAGAACAAACATTCGCACATACTACTGTATACCTACTGCTACGCTTATAATGTGAAGAAATAATCGTTTATCAACAATTTATGCTAAACGTTCTAATCTATTGCACCAGCCTCATTGCTTTATAACGTTTTTGGGGATGTAGCCTAGACCTACTGGTTTTATGAATTTGGGATGTATCGTCCCACAAATGTCCCAAAGTCTGTTTGGAATAGGCTATTTCTTTCTCGCACAGAACGACAAGCTGACCAATAGAATAGGTAAACTTTTCTACTATGGGGGATAGTAGATTGACATAGACTAGTGATTTTGCTGTTCGTTGCTCGTCTTGTTGGCTGAGGAAAAGCAAACATGGGCAGTTATTCTAACATGCGTTGGTTTCAAGTTTGGGGTAGCAAATTTTCACCATAAAAATTAACCTTTTATAATAAAGCATTCCATGCATCCTCGCAGTTGCAGACTTATGTAAGATAGCCTACTATTCCTAGATTGGATAGTCATAATTTAGGCTAATAATATAACTAAATTACTGTTCGCAAAAAATACCCTTCAATGCAGCGCGGAGTAGGCTAGGCCTAGGCTATAGGCTATATCTAGATTTCTTCTCCTTTCTTTGCACAGGTAAATGTTGGCCTTTTATAAACACACTTCATGCAATTCTACTCCACTTTATATGACTGGAGACATTAGAATAATCTTTTTTAATATGACAAAAATGACAGGGTAGCCTACTCTGCTGACACTGACAAACAGATCAATAAAAACGACGTTGTGTGATCTATATACTGAACAAAAATATAAACGCAACATGCAAAGTGTTGGTCCCAGGTTTCATGTGGCATATCAAGAAGCTGATTAAACAGCATGATCATTACACAGGTGCACTTTGTACTGGGGACAATAAAAGGTCACTCTAAAATGTGCAGTTTTGTCACACAACACAATGCCACAGATGTCTCAAGTTGTGGGAGCGCGCAATTGGCATGCTGATTGCAGGAATGCTCACCAGAGCTGTTGCCAGAGAATGTAATGTTCATTTCTCTACCATAAGCCGCCTCCAGCATGTTATTTG